AAACTAAACGAGAGAGACAAATATAGTTCTTATTTAGCAAACTTAATTTAAAAAATGATAATTTCCTGCCTTTTTTAAATACGAACCAATCCGTAGATGAATCCGGATTCATTCTGAATTTATTATCCACTTGTCACTTCCCGTTTTCATTCTTTTGGAAATCGAAAGTAAACGTGATCTATAAATTTACAATTTAAAGTCATTAGAATTGTTCCAATAAGGATTTGTACAAATCCTTGGTTCCAACTTTATAGGATTAATTCTAAATATCGCTTTAAAACGTTTTTAAGGATAATGAGTATGAATAATGCAGTGAAATAGTCCTTACAAGTTCATTTATGCTGTGATTCCTGGTTTAAAAAAAAAAGGATCCCAACTTTTGCTGATTAGGAATGTACCCTGAAACTAACTGAAGTGAAATTGTGAACTAGATTTCTAGATCTTATATCCTAATCTTCGTATTAAAGTGCCACATCAGTCAAATCATGCAGTAACTGCCTAGTATGCCTTAGTTCTTCAAAGTCTGACAAAAATGTATAGATAGTAATATACATCCTAGGTCCCTTGCTGCTAACCAAAATAAGGTTCATTTTCATCCCGCGCAAAAGTGACTAAAGCCCTCAAAATCCTAGCTTAAACCCTGCTTTGTTTAAATTAAAAAAAAAAATGTCAAGTGGAACATTTGCTATTATCCACAAACACCCAAAATTCTAATTTGTTTATAGAAAAATTTAGGGACATAAGTTACAAAAACCAGTTTCTCTTATAGTTTATGGTCCAAGACATTATGTTAGTATTTCAAAAGATTCAAACAATACTTGTTATTCAGATTAAAATTTACTTGTTTGATTAAAAATTCAGCAAACAGGTATTATCGGAATTTCAAGGCTTTGGATAATTAACAAAATCTTGAAGGGTCTCACTTAGCTTTTTTTTTTATACTACCAAAAAAAAAGGGGGGGGGGGGGGCAATTTTTTTTCCTCAAAAGAAAATTCTCTTCAAATATTAATTTTTTGGGAAAGGGGGGGGGGAGGGGGGGGGGGGGGGTGTTAAAAAATTTTTTTTTATGTGGGGTCAATTTTTTTTCTTCAAGATTTAAGAAATTGTCAATTTTCCAAAGAAAAAAATTGGGGGTCACAATTTATTTTGCTAATTCTTTGTATATAGTCTGAAAACAGATTTACTAAGTATTGCGCAACAGCACAGTGTATTACACAACCGCAAGAAATCTTCAATTGAATATCAATTCAAATCATACAACCAATTTCAAGTTCTTTGACACATTTATTCTGAGTCAGAAACCTATAATGTGTCAAATATTCAATTACAATCCAAATTCAGACCTGTATCAAGCTTGAATATTGTGTCCATTTTTGCCCAAACTGTTCAGGGTTGGACCTCTGCGGTCGTATTCAGCTGCGCTCGGCGAAGCAGTTTATTTAAAGTTCTTTTTATAGACTTCAAGACCCATATATTTGAAATACTGTTGATTTGAATTCACAGCTTTCTCAACAACATTAATTAACAATAAAGTAAGGCCTGGTGTCCTTCTATTACTTCTCAGAAGTAATTTGACTTATGGGCTTTTAATTTGGTATGCAAGTGCACCTTGGCATGCAAGTAATATAGTTAAAATATGTTGGTTATGTTTCATCCTATAGATTATTTATTTTGAAGACATGTAAAAAGTCTTCATACTTGTAGCATAATAAGCATTTGCCCTTTTCCCCCTTTTTGTATTAAATTTCTTACTATCATGTTCTATTATAATAATACATGTGGATGACTCTTAACCAGTAAAAAGGTATAAATATAAGCATATGTATCTTTCCTTAACAGCTGTTATTAGATATCATGTTAAATACATGTTTATTGGTGATCTGGTCAAGAATGAAGTAGAGAAGTTCATCCGTACTCTGAGACCAGCATTACAGTTACGATTACGCTTCATCTCACACATTAACATACCAGAGGAGGCTCTTACACCATTGGCACCACCAATGTCAACCTAATGGAAAATTCATGGACTGAAAGATTTGTAATTTGACAGATTTCCTATAATTTATATTAGCTAATATAAGATTAAGTTGACCTTGATCTGTTAGTAGTATATATTAAAAGGGTAATGTAGAATAGATTTTTGGTCAGAAGACTTAGAATGTCAACCTGGGTCTGCTGACTGTTCATTTCATCAGTGTTGATGTCCTATTTTTGATCAGAATATTAAAAAAATCATCATAATTGCATCTAGAACTTATAAAAGTAATAATTTTGGCTTTAAACCAAGTTGGTTTTTTTTTTATATGTAATGATTTAAGCAATGTTATGTGAATGAAAATTGTATTCTGTTATTTAATATCAGAAATTCTTTAACATTTTACTCGTTTCTCACATTCATAATTTGAAATTTGTATATAATACATATTTACCATGTTCATGCATTAATTATTTGTTATTCATTTATTGTCTCATTTCATACATCATCTACTTACAATTGTTTAGAACATTTTTTATTAGATTGTTTACATTTTTTTAGTATGTACTTAATATTTACATTTTCTACTTTTGGGAGGATATCCCTATATTATATTGGTGCAATTATGTGTTCAGTTTTTGCTACGATCATGTGTAATGTTGTGAGCTGTAATGTTATGCATGCAGGAATAAATAAACTATTTCAAATGTCTTGAATTAATGTTTTATACTCATATTCTAATATGTTTGGTACATATGGTTTTGGTACTTGCCCAACATTGAAGACAGTACAGTGACCTTTAGATTTGTCATGTCTCATTGATCTTAACCTTACAACTTGAATCCACTGATGATACATTTACCTTATATCACATTTTATCTTACCTCCTATACATTTCTAGGAATATCATTGGTTAAAAGCGACTGTGTGGAGACTGTGTATATCTAATATGGGGTTAGTAGGCGTGGTTTATTTTAATACACGGTTAGTAGTGGTGTTATGTCCCTTTATAAAAGCAACACAATGTTGTGGAAAAATCTGAAACATTTCCCCGGACAACAGACGAAGAAATTGGTGATGACAATTAAAATAAATGCAGAAAACACATTAAAAGCAAGTTGTTATTGTTGGCATTTGTTTTTGTATAGACCAATGGAAGTAGTTTCTTAATATTGAAGACTTGATCACTTTGATTGTCCACTAGTCTAAATGCCACGTTAAGATAAGTTCGTTACAGTGTGCTAGTGACCTAATACGATATATAAGGGGTCAGTAAATTCCATATGGGGTACAAGCTTCGCTCTCATATATATATTGTATTAGGTCACTAGCACACTGTGTAACTAATATTATTCACACAGACAGTTAATACATCAGCTCATAGATCTCATTCAATATACTAACTGTTAATACAACAGCAAATAGATCTTTACCTTACATCTCATTTATATAAACTAAAAATAAGGAGATGTGGTATGATTGCCAATGAGACAGCTATCCACCAAAGTTAAAATGAAGTGGATGTAAGCAATTAAAGACAACCGTATGGCCTTCAACAACGATAAAAACCCATACCGTATAGTCTGCTTTAAAATGCCCTGACATAAAAAATATCAACAATTCAATTGAGAAAACTAACGGCCTAATTCATAACAAAACCAACAACAACCACTGAACAGGCTCCTGACTTGGGACAGCCACATAAAGAATGGTGGGGTTCCCACTACCTGTTCATTGATATTAACTTTCATTTACACTAACTGTTAATTCAATAGTTCATTGATCCTTTATTACCTTACATCTTTTATTCGGATTAACTGTTCCCATACCTTTAACCTCCTTTCATTCTGATTAAGTGTTAATTCAACATATCATTGATCCTTTACCTTACATCTTCCTTTATTCAGACTAACTTTTGATACCACAGCTATTATACAAGCTTAGGGCAGTGATATTTTAATTTTTCTCAGTTTAAATAGGAATTCATATTAAGTGTACTTTAGTAGCTGCTGTAAACAAAATATGGAGAAGTTTGAGTTTTTTTTGTTGCAAATGGTATTATTCCATTTATGTACTTTATTTTTTCAATAATCCTTAGGTTAGTGACTTATACTTTGATAAAAGGAAATATTGCTTTTTTTTAAGCATACATTTGTATATCATAGTTAAAATAATTGTGTTACTATCCAAATCATAAATCCCTTTTCCTTAAAGTCTGTAATAATTTTTGTCTTGCTTGTGACAAATGTGGCAGAATGGAAGACATGGTCATGGATGCTTATCTGTCTCAGCTCTTTGTATAAAGCTTCATAATCCAGAATGTAAAAATCTGGATACTTCATATCTATTATACATAGGATTTATGTTTTGAAGTTTCTGTCTGGCATTGTCCAGTGTTTTTCAGTTATCAGTAATAGTACAACAATATTGGGATATAAAATCATAGCAAGGTATACATGTTTGTCAGACAGTGTTCACTTGACCTTAACTTAGGTCTGTTTTTCAGATACTATAAGCAATGTCAATTATATTTGGTGTATGGAATGATTATAAGGTGTACATGTCCCTCCAGCAGGGTTGATCAAGCTTGACAGCATTTTCATGGTTCATTGGTCAATGTTATTTTCCCCCGTCCCTCAGATACTGTACAGAATAAGTCAACTATATTTGGTGTATGGAATGATTGTTAGGTGTACATGTCTGTCCAGCAGGGTTCACCTGACCTTGACCTCTTTTTTCATATTTATTGGTCAACATTAGATTTTTTTGAAAAGGTCTGTTTCATAGATCAAAGATAGGTCAACTATTCTTGGTGTTTGAAATGATTTTGAAGTTGTACTTGTATCTCTGGCAAGGTTCATCTGACCTTCACCTCATTTTCATGGATCATTGTGGTATGTAAAACCTGTAGTAAAAACTTGATCTCAAAAACTTTCCTTATAAATTTCAGTCATAATCATTAAAGGCGCTGAAACATTTCATCATGTGCACTCTTGTTAATGAAAACAATGAATTGTACAAGAAAAAATTATTCATTTTATTTTTTATTCATAAAAATTTCAATAAAAATATTTGCATTGTACATCAAAAAGACACCTGAATGTGACAACAGCAAATGAATTGTAACATATATGAAACTAATACTGAAAGCAGACAACATGTATAAATACTCTTGTTACAAAATAACAATTGTGAAGAGAAAAAAATGATAAGTATAAACGAAACACCAGAAATAAAACAAACATGAAAAAAAAGATCAACATTGCCTATAAATTTTCACAAGGCAGAGGACAGACTAGCTAACCTCCTTCTGAAATATCATATGATGAGATGGTAAAGTCCAGAAATTGTGGAAAATCCAAAGAAAGTCTCATAAATAGAATGTTTATGTTATTATTTTCACAATAAAATATTGTTTACACTAAATAGGATTGAGATTGACAATTGCATTGAATACTGATTTGTTTGAAATTATGATTTTGATCAAATCGCTGATTTATGAAAGGGTGCAGAAAATTTATTGCAATAAAAATATGTCCATGATAATGTCATTGATGAAGAAGTGGCAAAGCTGCAATCTTATATTAAGATGCCAGCCTACAAGTTTATGTTCCTAAAGTTTAAATTGATGACCTTCAAATTCATGCATTTTCCCATACATTTCCTATGTCACAATGCTTATGTTATTTAATACATCACAGCAAAATCAACTGGTGTAACTCATTCTTAAAAAACAACTTGAGATAGGTCTATGGCAATGAAACACATAATTATATAACAAACAAAATAACCAGACTTGACAGTAAATATTATTATATCTCATAAATCAAAAATTCTTAAATTAATATAAAATTGTTATAAATTGCTAAACAAAGAGATTTGTGTCTGTGTTTCACAAAATAAATAAATATGTAACAATGACATTACAATAAAAGCATGACAATGCTCCAACATAATACAATAAATGTAAATCTAGACAAAAAAATCTCTAACAAATGTATAGACTGTAACAAAGTATCACATTTAGATAATTTAAAGATGGACGGAATATATATAATACTTGAAAAGATATAGCTTTCAAAAATACAACTGATATGCAATTTTCATTAAAAAAATGCCTCTTTAAAATGAAATGACATAATATAATAGATTCTATTAGTATTCACATTTGCTCCAGGCTTTATCTAACCTTTTATTTACAACCTTTCACTAATAAATTTCGGGTACAACTTTTTACAAGTAAATTAGTTTGAAGAGATGAATTCAAACTGCAACTTGGAAAAAAAAATGTTGGCCAATTGGTATTTTGAAAGTACAAAGCATTTTTTGCATATGCATAGTAATATTAAAATATGTTTTTTTTATTATAGATTAAAAGGACAAAATGTACTAGTCCAGATAAATATGAAATATATCATAAAATATAAGCACAATTTTTACATGAATATCATATGCCAGTACATGTATTTGTCAACATAATTTTAGTGACATGCCCTTCAACTAACTTTAAATGACTGGTCTATTCAGTGCTCAAGATTATGAAGTAATATTGTTAATTACTAGTTGTAATTTTGCTTGTACTTAAAATTATTACTTCCAGAATTTTGCTATTTATAAACCTTGTATCTTCTCTTTGCGTAATCATTTATACATCAAAAACTTTGGCATAAATTTAAAATGAAAAAATCGAAGTATCTTTAATTTATAATAGAACCTATGATTAATACAAAAAATAAAAGAATAATCATTCTGGTTTTGGATTTCTAAAGTATTATCTGGTCGTAGATTTATAATTCAAGAAAGAAGTTTGAGATTCAGCAAAGAAATGAATATTGTACAACTAGTTTAAGGTAGAGGTCTATCATTGTAAATAAATGCAGTTAGAACCTAAAGAAACATTAAGCCAAAACAACACTTTTGAGAAGAAACTCTTGCTAAGTTTTAAAAAAAAATAAATCTAGAAGCACCTCTTCATATATTATTAAATTTTCTTGGCAAAATTTATAAAAAATATACAAAATATTGATGTCATATCTTGAAGTTTTTCAATATGCAAGTTGATTATGGTAATGTACATTTGGTTGAAGTTATAAATAAATGTTTATTAAAAAAAACTAATTTCTAGCCTTGCTTCTATGTAATATGATTGTCTGTTGGTTAATTGGCAGTAAAATGTAATCATGCCTTTGTATCATCACCATTCATTATCTGTTGAAATGTCATTAGACACAATCAATATTATGTCCAGTAAGTCTTGGTTAATTATTTTAAAATACAAAAATGGTCAATCTTTCAGTCAACAGGTCCACCATTCACTTGTTGAGCTAGAAGAGTAAGGTATTATAAAATTATTTTGCAATTTATAATTATACTACATAGATGTTTCATCGGTTTTACATCATTTTGATTGAATACAACAATGACCTTGTGTTATATAATGATTTTATTTGTCTATTTTATATGTAATAAAACACAACATCCATGACTGCACATGCTCTTAATGAAAAGGTTGAAACAGTGCATAGGAATATTTTATAATAAACCAAACAATGTATCTTGTAATTTCCTGAATTTTAGTATAAAAAAGTAATTCATATAAGAACTGAGTGCTTCTTTTTGTAGTTTTACAGGGCTGTAAAAATTTAATAGTTCACTCATTTCAAGTAGTAAATGTGCTTCGATCAACTCTTGCACCCCAATAAAACTACAAAAAAAAGTACCAGGTATTCATTTCCAAAATAATCTATTGTTGTACGGTTTGGTATTTTTAATGTTTGAATGAAAAGTTCAGTAATTTAATATGAATACATAGAGTAGTGAAGTATACATAAATGAGAAAGCATTACAAAGACACTAATTATCACAAGACATCTAGAGACTAACACATGGTCTTCAACAACAAATAGTGTCTAAACCATATGTCAAGCCTTAAACAACACCAAGTCAGAAAAGGTACAGATATATGAACTATTGTATACTAGAAAAAGCAAATTAAATAATAAACTGTTGTATTGACAGTCAGTGTGAATTAATGAGATGTAAAGTAATGATCTATGAACTTGTATAAAAGGGGCATCAGCTGTCAAATTCATGTTCACTGATTTGACTCATATTCTCATATTTGATTTATAACATACTAAAACGTATATTCAAATTATTAAAATTTTGAAATAAACAATTTACGATGCATGGACTTGATAATATGTATCAGCATTTCGTGTGTATTTTAGTCTAAATGCCATCTAATTATCCATTGATGTGACCTCTGAAAGACTGCCAACGGTCATATAACTCGATATAAACATAAATATAGATATTAATAGATAGCGAACACGTGCAATTGGATTTTTCTAGGTCTGTTTGATTTCATATTATAGATTAAAAAAAATATGTTTATCAACATTTTTAATTGTATTAGAATGAGTTTTTGTGGATTGAATCAGTCAACCAAATGGTTTACCCTTGTTTCAATTTCAATGTTGACATTCTCTTCCTTTTAATAGCTGAACACCTCTAGTTTATGCGTAACCCATCTCTAGCAAAGGGATTAAATTGAAATTCACATGAATACGAATTCAATGAGTTTGAATTAATCCATCAGCGATGTTTCTTATCTTATTTTGACAAAATTGAACCAAATAGGCTGCTAAAAGCAAATTATTAATTCACTTTTGCACTTTCATTAATGATTGAACAAAAAAAAAAAAATCCTATTTTTATTTTTTTCATATTTCATAGCTAATGCCCCTTTAAACAGAGACTAACAAAATCCTGCTTTCAACACCATATCCTAAAGGACATAAAAATAAAATATTAATTAGGACAACTGCTGTCAGAGAAGGTTCCTGGCTTAGGACAGGCACATTAACATGAGCACGCTTAAATTACTAAACCTCCAGAAATGAAATCATGCTGTCATACATTCCAATATCAGCAGCTGTAAATCAGAGTGGATTTCATACAGCAACTTAATAAACAGTGCAAGAAGACAGGATCTTATACACTTCTCAAGTAAATCTGTACTGTATTTCAATGGCAGATGAAAATGAAGTGTGATTCTGCTCACTTATTTATGCTTTTGCTTTCAAGTGAAAGAAAATATATATACCAAACAATGTTGAAACAGAAAAATAGAAAGTAGATAAGGAATCATTGATTAGCTACCAATATTAAACATGACGCCAAATTTATTTAAGCTATGATTTGTAGTGCAACACAAATTTCTGATATTCATATATGTGCACCAATGAAAAGAACAAACAGTACATGGAAAACAGGAAGAAGATAACTGGCACATCTGAAAATGTATCACACAGTATAGCTTACCAATCTTTAGCTTGGTACCAAATATCAATTAGCTTTGATTTGTAGTTGCTTAAGAATTGGGACCAAAATTTCTTACACTAACTTGCATCAATGTGAAGAACATATATGTCACACAGTGTAGCTTATCAATTACGAAGAAGCTCTGATTTGTAGTTGTTGAGAAAAAAGTGCAACAGAAATGTGTTCAGATAGACAGAAATAAAACAGTGTAGTATTTATAAAAATCATTTTGCAGATTAAGACATGCAATCGTATATTGACTATAACCTTCCTACATAATAATCATACTTACGTTTTGTACATAAAAGTGTGTTGCCATGAGAACATGACAGATCAACAGCTATGAATGGATCTTCTCCAATAAAAACTATTTTACCAGGTTCTGTTGTATTTTCTTCTGATCTTCCAAGACGACCTCTTGAACTCTTCCCCCATGAATATACATCCTTGTCTGTAAATAGGTATATCGTTATCAATTACACATTATTTAGTTTGCAAGCCTGTGAATTAGTCCTGTGTGAACCCTTTATTTTGGCAACATGAAACGTTTTATGAACATCTTCAATGAATAGTTATATGTTTTGTGATATATATCTTCACTCCAAATATTAAACAATTAAGTTTTGATAATAATACTTTTAAAAAAAGCCTTTGCTGATCTTAATCATTCAATATATTTTCTACATTTATTTTAGAAAAACTAGAAAATAACATGTCATCAAGATCGCCAATGAAAAAATATATAATTCAAGGGAAAAGAAGTTTCCATAATGCCAACAATTTTTTCAGATTTTTTATGGTTAAGTACCATGGCTCTGGAATGACAATTATAACAAGAGTGCACATGTTGAGATGTCTCAACTGTTTTACTGACCACTGATTTTATGTTGAAAGTTCCAATCTTTACCTTTGAGAATTACAGATGAGTAAATATAGGAGTATGTGTTGCCTGTACTATTTAAGGATACATTTACTGATGATAGCATATCTTTATTCTCTTTAAACTTTTAGGCAAATAACTTTTTAAATTACACAGTCATGTACATCATACACTAATAACTCTCTCGGCAAAAAGATAAGCTATTGTGTTCAATATGAAATATTTACCATCTACAACAGCTACTGTGAAAATATCACCACATGCAACTGATGTAACATTCTGACTGTCTAAAGTTCTCAAGAGTTGTGGCACACGGCTGTTACCATGACCACTGTTACCAAGCTGTCCAAACTGGTTGGATCCAAACATATAACATTTCCCATCAGCTAGAAAATAATTCATACAAATAAACTGAAATTGTTTACATATATGATTATACCATCCACTTCACACTTACATACAAAAAAAGAACAGAACATTGAGTAACAATTATATAAAAAATTAAGAAATATTATCTTTTTTCATGTTATTCTGTAATTACAACCATAATTCTGTTGAAAGAAAAATCTGCACTGTGTTCTCATCAAGAGGATTTTAAATACAATAAATCATAAAAATACCTGTTACAGCAGCAGAATGTGATGTTCCCATGGCAACTTGTTTAACATGTAAATTGATGAGTGGATATGATGCTACAGGTGAAAATGAATGAACTTCCTCTATGACCTTCATTGTTGACCCATCAGGGGAGATGACATCCAAGGCTAATTTATTATATCTGATAAAAAAAGATATTCATACGTAAGCTTTACAATGATCATACTTCAAAATATTTCACAAATATCTGATTATATGTTAATTTAAAAGTAATTATATTTAAGAATTGTTAAAAAAAACCCAGCAGAAATAAATACATAAAATTTATATGGTACTTCCTTCTGAACACTGTCACAATGAGTGAATATGCTTCAGTCCAATACAGCAATAACTATGCAAATACAGAAAACATAATGTAATACTACTAGGGGTTTTATGTTTAAATGAGAAATCATGCTATTTCCCTGCACATTTGTTGACACTTCTACAGTGACAGTCAATTTTGCCAGTAGAGTAAATCCAATTGCCTAAACTCCAGAAAGACAGTATAGGCCTTACCGTTGCCTATAATTGCTTATATCCAATTCATTTGAACTTTGGTGGATAGTTGTCTCATTGCAAAATCATACCACATCTCCTTATTTTTATACTTATTTCTAACCTACCATGAAATTAGAATTGAATCCCTCTAAAGAAATGTCTACTTACTACATCTAATGAATGATAGAAGGATAGTAAGAAAGATAGTTCTAATGATACGACTTGAGAATTTTATGAATAAAAAGTATATCCCAATGAGGCAGCAACCCAAAACACAAAACATATGATCTTCAACAATATCACACTTAAGAAGAGACTTGAGTATTTTACCTATTGCTTCCACAACATAATAATTTATTATCATGAGTTAGAATCATAGAACAATCTACACCACAGCAGACTTTAGATGGTTGAAAGTGTTCTGGTATTGGTACAGGCATTGGGGAGGCATGCGAGTCCTGAGTTCCAAGTCCTAGTCTTCCATTATCTCCCCTACCCCATGAAAATACTTCATGTTCATTGGTCACTGCAATCACATGTGATGCTCCACAGGAAATCTGGGTTACTTCGCATCCTAATAATGCTTCTACAATCTTAGCCTGAAAAAAATCATCAATACTTTTACCATTGCTAAAAAAACATCCATCGTGGGACAATGCATATCAATTTACACACACTGGTAAATTTACACATATATATTTCTCTATTTTGATGACAAACTCTACTCAAATAAATAACCTATTTCTGGTCATTAAGTTGATTTCAAAAGAATAACTTTTTTTCCCATGTACCTGTTGTCAGTTTGTGACCTGATCTATTTAGCTGAAACATGTGTATAAATTATTTCAATACATAATGATCTTTGTCCTTAATATTATATTCAACAGACAGCTGTATAACTTGAAACATATATTTTATTTTCTACCTTAAATACAAACTAACCTGAGCTACATCATTATGATTACCATGACCCAGACATCCATTAGCCCCACTACCAAACTAACCTGAGCTACATCATTATGATTACCATGACCCAGACATCCATTAGCACCACTACCAAACTAACCTGAGCTACATCATTATGATTACCATGACCCAGACATCCATTAGCACCACTACCAAACTAACCTGAGCTACATCATTATGATTACCATGACCCAGACATCCATTAGCACCACTACCAAACTAACCTGAGCTACATCATTATGATTACCATGACCCAGACATCCATTAGCACCACTACCAAACTAACCTGAGCTACATCATTATGATTACTGTGACCCAGACATTCATTAGCACCACTACCAAACTAACTTTTGCTACATCATTATGATTACCGTGACCCAGACATCCATTAGCACCACTACCAAACTAACCTGAGCTACATCATTATGATTACCATGACCCAGACATCCATTAGCACCACTACCAAACTAACCTGAGCTACATCATTATGATTACCATGACCCAGACATCCATTAGCACCACTACCAAACTAACCTGAGCTACATCATTATGATTACCATGACCCAGACATCCATTAGCCCCACTACCAAACTAACCTGAGCTACATCATTATGATTACCATGACCCAGACATCCATTAGCACCACTACCAAACTAACCTGAGCTACATCATTATGATTACCATGACCCAGACATCCATTAGCACCACTACCAAAAGTCATCAATATTCCTCTATCTGGAATAAAGTTAATGAATACAAATGTAGTGCATTCTGATTGATGAATTGGTGCTTAATATCCAGTTGCAAATATTACATGTCAGGACAACAGCAATGTTACACAAATATACCGATCTTTGAAATATACCAACTTGCTGGGTTGGATTTTTTATATATTTTAGTTCACAAGAAAATATCCATACACTCAGCTAATCAGACTTTCCTCATACTCTAATATGCTATGTGCTTAATGGAGAATCAGTGTATACCAATTCTTAAGTCATTTGGTTGACCCAACCATTTTTAAAACAAACAACCTCCCACAATCAAGATAAGCAACATACCCCAGACCACTGAATCACAAAAAGGAATGAAATAATCATTGAAAGAGGAATCTGTTTCAAGGAAAATAAACATCTTGTCTGAATGAAAATGTATTCAAAATTAATTTCTAAAGTCTAGATAGAAATAAACCAAACAGTATGAGTGTTCTGTATTTATATCTCATGTTTGTGGTTCCTAGTTTATTATTCATAACATGTTAAACATTTAGGTACGTTTGTTTCTTTTCAGTTCACTTTTGTTATGATTTTATATAAATATCAACTATGTGATAATATGCGATTAATTTGACATGTTTTAAACTTAAAGATGACATTTTATTCAGCAATTTTCTTGTCATTAATTTCCAATGATTATTATTGTCCTTACCTGTAAGACAAGCAGTATGAAAGTCCCCACATGCCACATGCTGTATGTTGACTGCTGATTGACCCTCCAGGTACCTTGGTATAAATGTTGGAGCAGGTATGTCAGTAGCTCCAGGTATCAGTGTATCTGTTCCTGCTACTGATGATGACTATCATGGAAGAAAATAAGCAATTTAGTATTATTAATACAAAAATTACCAGGGATAGGTATATTAGTTTGTTCAATCATTGTCCTATAATCATTTCTATACTTTACAATTCATTGTTCTATTTTATGAAAATAAAGTTACTTCCCTTCATATTTCGTAGAAAAAGAAAGCACAAAATTTGTGCAGGTCAGAGTATCAAAAATACCTTGTTATCACTTTCAAATTATTTTTCAAGTTAAAAGGTCATAAAACTAACCTCCCAGACAATCAGTCGGCCATTTTTAGTAACTCCAGCTTTCTGTGTTCTGCCTGTTGAGGCCTGTATAAGTTGTGTATCTGTAGAAGGTAGTCCCATCTTTACAGGTCGGCCAATACCACTTCCCCAATAGAATGCCGAACTTAGTGTCGTTGGTTTGGTGGATATAGATTCTAAAATTTAATTTTACGGAATACCAATTTTAATCAGACATGTCAGAGTTGAAAAGATTAACTACAGGGTAATTAAAAAAATATGGTGTACCCCGGTATCTGTTTTATATCAAATTTCCCATCCTTGAACTAATAAAAGATTTTTTACTCTCTCCCAAATGCTTAAAAAAAATAAGGTATCATGGGAAATTAAGTCTCTAGTTAAGCTCAGAAATCATATATACATCAGACAGGTAGATTCTTTTGTAAATTGATATACCACAATAAAATTTATGTTTAAGTTAGGTTAAAGTTTTTCATCTAAATTTGACTATTTTAGTTTGTCTTTCACCATTCATATTTTCTAGATGTCAAACAAGATAATGTAAAAGAAAGAATGGCAAATTATCTTCTCCTGAATTAATCATATTTTCACAAAAGTTCACTACCCTAGCAAATCCACAAAATTTTTTAATGATGCATTTCTAGTAAATATCTTTACAAATAAAATACAAATTGTATTTCATAGAAGATAATGATAATTTCTCAGATTTGTCTTAATGTTTGCAAATATTATGGGTGCCAACAGATGCTCACTGTATCTGTGTTTTTATAGCTTAAAGAACAGGTGATACAGAAATAATCTCTCCATGACCAACAATAATCAATGTAAACTTACCCCTAGAGGTATGACTTCCCCTTATAGACATTCTATTGAATGGAGAGGATGATGGCATTGGTCGATGAATTCTAAAACAAAAAAGACATTATAAATATTATTTTACTTTAGCTTTTTTAATCAAGAGAAGTTGGTGACCATAAATATCAAAAGATTTTAATATAAGATTAACATCTTGTGATTCTTGTCATGACATAAAGTTTTTGTACAAAATTCAATATGTCATTATACATGATTGGAACCTTTATTCACATGAAGAATATTATTCTTAATTGAGACGACTAAGTTAATAAATAAAACAGAGTAGAAAAACCAACCTTGTACAGTTTATTTTCCCCATGTCTGTGTGCAGATACATTAATGCATTTATAACTATGGGCTGAGCCATTATCTGATTTATTGTTGGTCTTTTATTTGGATCTAAGTGGAGCATGCTTAATATCAGACTTTTTAGTTCATCGCTGTAATTGACAGATATTGGTGCAAATGTACCTCTCATGATCTTCATTACCAAGGCTGGCAAATTCTAAAACAAAATGTATATTTATTTATCAAATAAATATATGTTTAGTATATTAACAATAGAGTACACATATCAAAACAGATGACTTGTCATTGACTTTATCTTTCTAAATTTGTGAAAATGTATATACATTTTGGAAAAACTGTATTTCATTGTGAATGGTTTTTTTATTTTGCAGCAAGCCTACTTACTGTACGACATTGCTTATTTAAAAATATAAACTTTCATTATGCTTTGCTATATTCACTTTGATAAGATGAAAATTATGTTATATTACATACAGCAGCTTCAAATGCCCTCTTAAGACTTGCCAGCTCATATAATACACATCCTAGAGCCCATATATCACTCTTTTGGTTATAACTAAATTTACATGTTAAGGTTGTAACATAATTATAATGATGTTTTTAAAATAGATCAGCTCTCGTAATATGTTTGTTCAGAAAAAAAGATTCAATTTGTAATGTTTAATCAATGTACATATATTTCATTTACAATTATCTAACCACAAAATTCCATTGACATCAGAAGTGCAAAGCCAAGATGAAAGTAAAGTGTTGTGGCAAAAAATTCATCCTTTTGGTAGTTTCTTTACATGCATTATTTATCATTCGTCTTCCTAACTATTTGGACACCCAAAATTTATAGATAAAAGGCCTTGTCGAAATCTCAAAAACTAAGTAGATTTGTTTGCATGAGCACATCACCCATCCCCCTTATTTGACTTTTACTCAATAACAAAACATAAAAAGTTAAAAGGCACTATCATTTACAGGTATTGTGATTGTTATAAAAGTTCTGCCATGAGATTCTGTGAGAAAAAACTTCCTTTGTACAAGATAACCAGATTTTGTCTACATTTTGAAAAATAAATTTCACAACTTTACAACAATTAATCTTTAAATCATTTGAATCACAAAGTAGATTGTTTTATGGAACTACATCTTTAGTTAATTTTCTAAAAAAGTTCCAATAAATTAAAAGATGTACTCAAAATTGTCAATTACTTTAAAACATCATTTGACCAATCCCAGTTAAATCATCATCATAATGTCATGTAGATTTAAAGAGAGATCTATTAAATAAATCCATCTATTTCAGAATAATCCCCAATAAATTTTGTAAAAGGATACGGTTTCCCTTCACAGAGTTCTGGTGAAATGTAGCATGGTGTTCCAACAACCTAAAATAAACAAATACTAAATTTCAAAATGTATCTGGTATATCAAAACAATATATATTCAAACATATCATTCTATTGGTATGGGGTGTAATAAGCTTAGGAGTATTATGCTGTTACAAGTTTGTGCTGTCGTTTTTCTTGCTTAATCATAGTACTCTTTTTTTCTGGAACCAGTTAAAACGAATAGCTATGGTGATGTAAATATATCTGGTCAATTCAGTGTGATGTTTACTTCAAAGCTAATATTGATTTAACATGAAGCTATTACTGTTGAAATAACACTTAGCTAGTAATCAGAATTTGTTTGATTTTGAAGATAAAGAAAATGTAGTGTTGTTACAATATACCGGTAAATGAAAAGAAAAAAGTTCGAAAATGATAGATATTCTTACAATAACTGATTTTTTCTTCCACATTCTCTATCAATCAGTTGCTATTCAAGTAGTAAATAAAAGGTAACCAACGAAATGAAAATATATGACCCAAACAAAAAGTCTCATTCAATAACACATATATTTGGTGTTTTATTTTATTTATCCATATAATTTTTTTGCAACATCTATCTTTTTAAAGAAACATGAAGCTTTATTTCGTGCATTGATTATTGAAAAAATATATCTTTATATCAACAGACAGTTTACAGATCATGAAGAAATGAACTCTGAAGACTACTGCTTCTCGAAACTATCATGTTGAATTCAAATTGAAGTGAAAAGGATTTTATATTATATATGATTTGTTTGGATATATATGGATGGCCAGTTTACATTTCTTTGAACCGAATTTGGATTAATTAATTATCATAAGGAAAATAGTTTTGTAAATTATTGTCATAAACTGTTGACAGAGATTTGTCTCACCTGTGTGTAATTTCGATAAATTGATTGCAATAATGAAAATGCTTAGTTCTATCATGTCTACCATTAAGAACTACAAATGTATACTCACAGTGTAAGCTTTACTTTTACTGCTTAAAACTTTTGAAATGCCAAAATCTCCAATTTTTACCACTTCTTTTCGTTTGTCAAGTAGTATATTCTGTGTTTTCAAGTCTCTGTGCAAGATCTGTTTGGAGTGTACATGTTGTAATGAAAGCAACATCTGTGCAAAGTATTTTAAAATTTCCTAAAAAAAAACATAAATGTTTCTATACAATCCAAATAGCATACATATCACAGTTTGCATGTTTCTAAGTATTATGCAAATATTAAATATGTAAGCCTCAGATCTGTGTAGGGCCTCAAATCTGTGTACATTTCTCAAATCTGTGCCCCATCATGACGTCAATCACTAATCTATTTCCGTTAAAAAAGATATGGCCTCAAATCTGTGTCCTATTTTCAAATTTGTTTTCAATCGTGACGTCATTCGCAAATCTATGTCTGTTTAAAAAAGATACAGCCTCAAATCTGTGTCTTTTTCTTAAATCTTTTTCCAGTTTGTTTCGCCATGCTAAAATTTATGCCCGTCTAATAAGTACGGCCTTATAGGATTTTTGTTTTATTAAGTCATTTCCCATGATTCAATGTTAAGTTGGGATGTGTTCTCCATGTGTGTGCTTAAAAATTTTACATGCGTGTGTAATTATTGCATGATTTACATTTTATTGTAAAACTACAACATTTTCAAATTGTTTGCTTTTCTTGATCCCGTGTTTAATGGTTCTGCAGTAATTATCGTTACTTCCCTTTACTCATTACGTCTTGATAACAAATACGAAATATAAGTTAATAAACAACCTGAGACAAAATGACATCTGTATACATTGTATCAAGCAACTAAAGATACATGTAAGGCCTTCAACAATGAATTAAACCTATTCTGTATCGTAAGCTATAAACACATACACCTATTTACAAACGTTTTGTTCAATGTTTCAATGTAAATGTACCACATAAAAATGTTTAGGGTATAATTTATTGTGTTTAACATCGACATTTTGTGCCACTATCTTATTAAAAAAAATTTTTTTCTGGTGAAACTATTCCAGTTTCGAATCTATGTATTTTTTTAAATCCATTGTGTACCCAGGTTATTCAGTGTGCACCACATTTTTTATGTTATTTCTTCATAGACAGAAAAAATATTACAGTCATTCCTTAAATAACAAAAAATGATTCTAAATCGCTAAAAATAAAATGTGTTTTATTTTTTTAATTGAAGAATTTGTAAATCACAATGGGGCATATATTAACTTTTTGGTCTTAGCTGATATCTATTTAGTTCAAATGTAAAATTTGTAATTATGTCTTTAATAAAGAAAATCTTTCCCCGAGAAGAATCATTCTTTATGTTTTGGCATATTCCTTCTCTCCAGAAACCAGATGTAAACACTGCTGTCCCTTTGTTCATGGCTGGATTTGTCCTGAATTGTAAATATTCCCCAATAGTCGGAGTAAAGATGTCCTGATAATTGTCAGAAACATTTAGATTCTTGGTCATAAAAGTAAAGCAACAAAAACTTTTTTACCATTCCGTCTGAAAACAGCACCTTCAATTCGTCAACAATTTTCTTTGCTCCCCAGTTTTGATGTTCTTCTTTGGCTTTAGCAATCTGTATAATGTGAGGCATATCCGCCCAAAATGCTTCTGGATTTGGATCCTTTGAAATACCCTTTTTCCGCTTACTAGACATCATGTATCCCTCATTTGGAATTGTGTCCTGCTCCGCCATCATTCCTTTTATGCAGTGATGTCATATACTTGATGACGTCTTGCTATGTCTTACGTCACCACATTTCGATCGATAAAGGACATAGATTTGAGACAAAAATGGCCATAGATTTGAGTTAATAAAGGACATAGATTTGAGACAATAAAAGACATAGATTTGAGACAATATAGGACATAAATTTGGAACGTCTATTACGCAATATTAAAAAGGACATACATAATTGATACATTTGTGGAAAGGACATAGATTTGAGGCTGGACATAGATTTGAGGCTTACAAATAAATTTTTATTGATATATTGTTATTTCCAAGTATTGAAAAAGTAGTGGGGGAGTTGTCTTTAGATTTGCAATATTGAACTTCTTATTCAATTAAATTTATTCAATTTCCTTTACAAGTTAAAAATTTACATTAACATTAAAGGAGTGAGAATGAATTTCAACATTTCATTATAAAATTTGCATTAATCTATATCTAAGTTACACTCGAGTGACATTTTATTCATCAATATTTCTAATATTAATATGACAATATAATATTGCATGGAGAGTTACCTCTTCTTCTAAGAGAATACCATTTCTTTGTTGTAAAACATCCATCAGTGTCCCACCTGTTTTAAAAAACACATTTGAGTGATAGCTTTTTTATTACACTGCATGCAATTTTTCTAAAAAAAAATAAATGTGATTATGAATGTTTTTACTTTTTTGATAAAGCAAAGACTATTGATTTTTTTTACAGAAATCAGACATTGTGGTTCATCTTTTCTACACAAATCTACTCTTTGTTACTTTAAATTAATCATTGTCTTCGTTATAAAATAAAAAAAATTAACACAAATATTTTTCATTTAATTTTGTTCTTTTTCGCTCCATATAACTGAACTTCCCTTCACCATTGTACACATAGTTAGACTTAGTCAAAGGTCATTTAACATTAATTGACAATGTCAATGCAATATACTTATTTGGAAGGTGGATACTTACAAATTTTCACTGTAATTACCTTGAGCATACTCCATTACTATCATTAAGGCTTTGTCTTCTAGGAAGTTTTCATAATATTTTATAATATTTGGATGTGACAACATGGAAAGAACTTTGCTTTCATTCAATGCTGCCTGTCTCTCTTCTTTGGTCATTTGTTCTACAGGAATCTGCTTTATAATTACTAACTTTTTATCTGCTAGTCTTCTGCACAGGTGAACAGTTCTGTATTTATATGACAAGAGGGATAAATTATGATCATACAGTAAGAAGTGAATTGTATGAAGAAAACAGCCATTTGGTCAAAAAAAGTACTACAGTGTACATACTGTTTTCAAGACTGCAAATGTCTGTACAATAAACTACTATACAGAAATTTTATTTTAATTTCATATATGAATTCTGCTGGTTAAATTACACAAGAAAATTTTTAAAAATTGAGGGTAACTGTTTTAGATTTTGAAATACGAGCTAATGAAATTAACAGCATGCGCGTATATATATGATACACCAAAAATAAAAAGAATATATACAATGTAGGGAACATCATAAAAATCAGTAATTATTTTTACATTATCAGGATTTTCTAATTTATTATAATTCATTCAAAAGTATTTTTTTCAAATGAATGACAAATCAATTGGTGCAAAGAAAGTTCTTGAAAGTTTAACTTTAGCAGAAAAAAATGAAAATTTTCAGCAACATAATTGATGGCTTTGCAGAGAAAATGGCACAAAAGCCGCACATGTTTATATTATAGCACAAGAAATCTATTTCAGGGCATATAATGCGATGCAAATGAGGACTGTTTACTTTTCTATCATCAATAAACTTGAATATGACAGGAATTGGTATAGAGTTTTGATGTACAGTAGGAATAGCTGCATGATGATGTTGCAATTAAAATACAGTGCCAGTACATAATTTACATGTAGTGACAAAAAAAAGAAATGGGATCCCCAGCATTGAAAAAAAACAGGTTGTTTATATGTAGCCCAAAAAATGACCACATGGACGCCCACTTTTTTCTTTTGCAATCAACTTTTGACTGCTCTAAGAATGTTACATCGAAATTGCAGGAAACAAGAATGTGTCCATAGTACACAGATGCCCCACTCGCACTATCATTTTCTATGTTCAGTGGACCGTGAAATTGGTGTCAAAACTCTAATTTGGCATTAAAGTTAGAAAGATCATATCATAGGGCATGTGTACTAAGTTTCAAGTTGATTTGACTTCAACTTCATCAAAAATTACCTTGACCAAAAACTTTAATCTGAAAAACTTTAACCTAAAGCGGGACAGACGGACGAACGAACTAAAGGACGAACGGACGCACTGACCGAAAAACATAATGGGGCATAAAAATCAAGGGTAGAATTTTTCTATGTTTTATTGACAAGAAAATTATCTACAACTTTTTAAATTCAACAAATATTTTTATCACAATTAGCCTTCATTTTAGGGACTTACTTAAAAGTCTATAAATTAAACTTTAAGGACACTTTGCAAAAATATGAATGAAATATCCCTTTTTTTCGTTATCAAAGTTGAATTATGCTTTGGAAAAGCAGGGATCATTATGACTTCCCTCCTCTACCTTGTAATAAACCTTGAAAAAAAATCCCAATCAAAATCAAAAAAAGATTTTATCTTTTTGAAACACAAAATACACATAAATTTTATATATCTAGTGGATGTCAGGCCTTGAAACTTTTCCAACTGCACAGGTTAGTCTGTACTCAAGTAGTTTTTGAGGTAAATACTCAGCAATATTTTTCCATTTGTTATGATGAACCTTAATATTAAATAGATACTTATACAGACTTTGTCCTTTTCCACATATCACCTGCCTAATATTATTCATATTATGGGGACAAATTCCCTAATAACAGTAAGAAAACCAATAAAATGAAATATCAATATAATAAACTGTTATCACAGAGATATGTCTCGCTTTTTTGTAATTTTGATAATGCAAATGTTGAAATTAAAATAGCAACACTTTAACATGTAAGTTTTGCATATATTCAAAGTCAATAAACCATGACTGAAGGTAAATGGCTAAACAATCTCCTTGGAAATGAGATATGCCAATGCTTATACAACTGCATACCAATTATCATTAACTTACCACTAGTGGTTCCCCATAAACTCACCTAATCACAATCTAATACATGAAAAATAAGCATAAATTTCAAAGTCAATAGACCATAACTGAGGGGGCAGGGCCAAATAATCTCCATGGTAATGAGATGTACCAATACTAATACAACTGCGTACCAAATATCTTTGACTTACCACTAGTGGTTCACCATAAACTAGACCTAATCACAAACTAATACATTGTTGACGCTGCCACCTTCGCTGCCGCCGACGCCGGAAACAGCATACCTATGTCTCACCTTTTTACTCCGTCAAGCGAGACAAAAATCAATTTACTAATGAACTCAAAATCACCAACTTTTTTTTCTAACTTTTTTAACCAGTTGAGCTTGCGCATTACACTGTTCCTGTTCTGTTGACAGATGCTGTCATGTTGTAAGTTAGAGGATTTCCCAAAATTTGTATAAATGATTATCAAAAAGAATAATGAGGGTAATTATTTTGAATATTTCAGTTTGTATACATAATGAAATGAGTCATGAGTCTAAGCTCTTATTCAACATACTATTTTATAGCAAACAAAATGAGTTCTCAGGGGAAACTCACCTCAGATCAATCAGGCAGAATTTTGTATCTGTACAAAGTTCAGTAATAAGCCGACTTTGTATATTCGTTAATTTTAGGTATAAATTATCATGTTTTTAATAAAACTATACCTTAAAACCAGAATAAAATGCTACCTGATAATAATGTTTCTTTGTTTACATTGAAAATGACGTCATATACAGGGCCTAATCTAGGATTTTGGAGAGGGAGTAGTGACTTCTCCTTCCATGAGAGAGAACGGAGGTCAGAAGTGGTTAACTTCTTCTAGAAGTGAAATTCCATTACTGTTTTGGTTGCGTACTGTTTTCATGCTATCATTAAGGAAATTGTTTTAATTATATATGCATTAAAAATATACTTGCAGTGTTTTTAAATGATATTGTATATATTGAAAATTCTGAATAAAAAAGATAAGAAATAAAGTTGTTATTTATTTTAAAGTCATATCATTTGTAATGTCAACTTGAATTTAATTTCAATTAAATGTGTTGCTAGTACATGTATATCATGCATTAATTCCATGTGCATCTGCCTAAATCTATTTTTAAAAATTTAGAAAATATGACTCCCAGTCTATCTGATGACTTGGCAATTTGATTTATATCACCACTTCTTGTCATAATTTCATTAAAACTTTATTTAATGTCCAGAACATCATGTCAGTTGTAATTTGAGATTCCTGTGAATGGTTTTAGACCTTTCAATGAAGATATCTGTCAATCACATATAAATTAACCGATCAAGGGCCAATTTTTATTCTGCTGTTACAAAAGATATCTATCTTATTGTTGAGTTGGTCGTGAAAAAAACACATTGCTGATTACAAGCTGACCACACATCCTATGTTTGCAATCAAATTATCCATCAGCTGTTTTTTTTTTTCTTACACATTTCAATTCTTATCAATGAATAGCAACACATCAACCGTTAATTCCCATCCCTTAACCTACCGAATAGTACAACTGGTCGACTCCTATTATATAAAAATACTGAAAACAAATCAGCTGAATGATTACGCAACATCCTCATGACGAAAATCATAGTAAATGACAACTCAAACAGTCACCCGGTTTCCCATTATGATAGTTTTGAATGTTAAATCTGAGGTTGTTCAAAGTCGCCATTGTTAAAAATTTATTTAATCATCGACAGTATTAGTCTTTGGTCCTTTCGAAAATCTCGATTTTCCTTGTCAGTTGCCATTTTTGTTTACCTGTGTGACTTATAAATCACAAGATCGCTAAGAAGTCAGTCAGCTGGAAAGTTTAAGCGATTTTCAAATTTCTTTGTCGACTTAAATCGTGATTTTGCAGGCAAGATTATGGCCTGCATATATAAAATTCCTACATATAGGACCAACATCTGATACGTTGCGTAATTCAATTACTTTTTCACAAGAAATTATGCTGGGAATTTTACAATGTTTACGTATTTGTACCTATAAAAATCTGCTGTTAACGGTATATGGCCTTCTTTTACTTTAGGGGTCCCAACCCATATAGAGCTATACTAAACTATCCATAATCCTAAACCTTACCCCAAACCTTACCCTAACCCATACATAAACCTTACACTACCTCTAACCCTAATCTAGAACTTCCCCTAACCTAACCTAACCATGAATGAACCCTAACTCTTAAGTATAGGGACCCTAAAGTAAAAGAAGGTAGAATATTCTAAAGGTTTGCTGACTTCGTCCCCTTTCACAGGTAACACCTGTCTCATAGTATTTACCCGTAAGCACCTCGACCAACAACTCTCATCTTCTCGTAGTTTTCCATGGTTTTCGAGCTTTTCTGCACCTTGTCAGATTTCCGAAAAATAAATTCTTCAATGTCAAAATACAACTTACATTGAGGTGATCAACGCCTCAAAGATTTCTATATCTTAAACATCTCGCTAACCAAGGAAAAAATATCAATATTAAAATCAGTACCGGAATGTATTTCCGGATATGGAATAATGAATTTCACATTTTTAAATTGAAATCCGCTTGTACATGTTGTATTACGCTACAATCAAACAAAGTGTAGTAGTCAGCCGAGAACCAGCTTATCACATTTTGAGATTTTTATTTCAATTTCAAACTGTCTTAAATTTGTGTTTGTTAATTTCTTTCTTTTTTTTTTTTAATTCCAGCACTATTTCCTTACTCCTATCACAGATATATCATAGCCCTTTGGGTTTGGAGTGAATATCGTGCCAGTGGCTATATTGCATGGACACTATGAAATATCCCCTGCATATCTGAATCGGAATATTTTTTAAATCTTTCAGAATTTCAGAGTTTATTGAAAACTCGTTAGTTTGGCCAGAGACATATAATATATATTATATGTCTCTGGTTTGGCCAAGGATTTGTATTTCTATACAAATCCTTGGTTTGGCATATTTCTATTATTAGTATTTTGATTAAAAGTCTCACGGTGGTCCACATCAGTAGAAATTTAAGTTATTGTAGGACTAATACAATGTATTTTAATATTAGTTAGTGCAATAGTCTCAGAGTTATTGTAACGTTACTTTTTGAAAAGTATACGTTTTGATTTTTTTTTTGTTTGTTTTGTTTGTTATGGTTTCATATTAATTTCTTGGAATTTTTTTTTTCTTTTTGATTGTACGCCACAGGCGTTGGAGTATGGACCTTTTTTTATTACTTTTATTTTTTGGTGTTTAATCTTTTTTAGTAAATATTCTTTATTTTAACTTATTTTAACTTATTTTCACTTATCTATTGTATTATTGCTCTTAACCATACGGTATCACAATGACGGTAGTTTATATATGCTGCCCCTCTACAGGAACAGATTCAGGCGGGGGCGTGGCAGACGTGCGCCCCCTAAAATTTGCAAAGCAATGGTTGTCCTCAGCTTAAAGAATATTTCGACAATTTTACCTAAAAAAATACTCGCTCCGCTAGGCGAAAATTTAAGTTTGCGCCCCTAACCTAAAATCCTGGATCCGCCCCTGCTCTATTCACTTATTTTCCCGAATATCAAAATAAGAATAGAGGGACAACATACATAAAGTACTGTTATTGTAATATCGTATGGATATAGCTAGAACATATTTTAAAAATAAGTAAAAAAAAAAGCTAAAGTATTTTACTATCTGGGACATACTATAATGACGTTAGTATAATCGTCCCCGATACTATTGACTAAAAAAAGATTCAACATAAAAAAAGTAAAAGTAAAAAAGGGGGTCATGATCATGCCACCAAACACCTTTGATTTACTTCTATAAAAAGAACATTAGTGTTCCCGCTATTCACTCTCGTGATTCTTTTAAGACTATTGCAAAGGGTGCTTGGAATTTTGAAAATTCTTCTCTTCACAACTGGAAATTGATATTTCAGAACCGGATCGTTTTAATTCTTAACCATGTATTTAACCTTTCCTGTCTTTGTTTTGATTTGACTGGCCAACCTGATACAGAATATAGTTACCGTGATTTCAAAAGGTCAAAGGTTTTGATTAGTTTTATTCCTTTTTAAACAGACCAAGTGGTATTAAACGGATCTTAACCATCACCAGTGAAAATGCATATTGCGATCTTATTTGCGGATTATTTTTTTTTTTATTTTGCATTGAAATTAAAAAAGGAAATATTGAATGACAAGGATTTACACAATGCAAAGTTTTATCTGTAAATAAAATTGCAATAGTGAGTTGACAATATGGTGTTTTGAAAACATGTCATATAATATGTGGTTCAGTGAAAAATATTACAATGTTGCAGATACTTTGTGTTTGTTTTTGTGTGCTTTTTTTTACCATTATTATTTAAGAGTATGTTCAACCTTGTTTCTCTACAACTTTTAAGCAATGAAACGAGAAATTACAATTATACGTGATATGTGTCACTGTATTGTTTAAAGCGGCTAATATCTAGTCAAATTCAAACAGATTGCGGTCAGGTTTTTAAATTATAACACATTCATGTTAATGAAATTACAAATGTTCAGTCGGGCAAATTATTTAAATTCTCGGATTTCAACAAGTATTTGACTCTTTTGTCTTAGAACTTTAATATATGAATATGAATAATACCTCGTCATTTATTTGACTGTACCAACAAAACGAGCAGAATGAGGTAAGAAAGAAATAGAAAATTGTTAAAAGAAAACACCACACCTTCATTTTCTCACAGAATTGTTCGACAGATACCCCCTTTTTAATTCATATTACTCGATTTACTGCTTAAAACTGATTTTACATAACATGCTATGCATACTTGAAATATTCAGAAATTATTCTTTTTATTTTAATACTCTATTCACATATTCATTTATTTGTCATTGTTCTTTTTACTAAACGCTAACTATGAAATTGTTACTGATTTAATGAACGACAGCCATGATTTAAACAGGTGACGGTGACACATTCCATATATACTTACCATTGGCTCAAACAAAGCATTGACTTTATACAAAATAATAATAATAACAATTATTCATCACAAAAAAGAACGAGGATGTAAACAACTTCACATCACCACACGGCCTTCAACAATGAGCAAAACTCATACTTTATAGAAAGCAATCGAAGACCACGGATATATAAGTATGGAACAATTCAAAAGAGAAAAAAAACGGCTTCATTCATACTAACAATTATGACAGACAATAACTGGAATACAGGCTCATGGCTTGGGACAGACAAATAAAGACTGTGCCGGTAAAATCTTCCCCGAACCTGATAATTCAGTGGTTTAACGTCACACATCTGACAGAAATGTCCAGCAAGATTAGGTTTGGGTTTAGTCCGTACATGACGACTTTATCGTGCTTCATCATACATTTTTTTCTTTAATTTTTCTTTTCAGTCGCATTTCAGAACCAAAGTTTCAAAAAGCAGCGTCAGCCCAGTCCACAAATGTTGGAAAAAGGGTCCTTAAAAGTCAAAAGACAAAAGGCAAAAGAGCACCAAGATATAGTTCTAATATTTTTGCAATGTTTGAAGAATCACAGATTCAAGAATTCAAAGAGGCTTTCAATATGATAGACCAAAACAGAGACGGGGTGATAGATAAGGAAGATCTTACTGACATGCTTGCATCCCTGGGTAAGAAATGGGAAAATTCATAATTTATTTTATCCCATAGTCTCTTTCCGATTAAAAGTTTTAGAATTATATGCTAAAAAGCCTGAAATACCGACTACCATCATTCTGTTAACGAATGTAACTGTTACTTACCATGAGCAACATGACGGGTGTCACTAGTGGAGTTTGATCTGCTAACACGTCCGGAGCACATTAGATCACACCCAGTGTTGGTGGGGTTCGTGTTGCTCAGTCTTTATTTTGTATGTATTGTTTTGTAGACTTGTCTTTTAGTCGTCTCTCGTTTTTTTCGCCATGGCGATGTCAGTTTCCCTTCGACCAATGAATTTCGAATGTCCCCTTGGTATCTTCCGCCTATTATTATATCGTTAGTATATACTAGAGCGTATATCAAAATATAAAATGACAAAATATGCTTCAGGCAAAAATCCAACAGATAATTATTTGGACGAGATGATGAATTGTGCTCCAGGACCAATTAATTTCACCATGTTCCTTACCATGTTTGGTCAGAAACTCCAAGGAACCGACCCTGAAGATGTAATCAAGAATGCATTTGCATGTTTTGATGAGGGAGGCAAAGGTAACTAGAGTCAGTTTATAGTATTGAATTTTATATTGAATGTGAAAAGTAAATGCTGAATTATGTTTAAAAGTTAACCTTTCCACATGCCAAGCACCGACTTCAAAATTATAAAGTTGTTGTATAAACCTTTATTATATAATTAGATGATCATTATGTAGTTACTTTAAATGTCCGGAAAAATACAGGAAAGCAATATGAAAAAAATCTGCACGAATACCCATGAAGACAATATCAAAATATCAAATATGTAGCCGCATTCAGTTAGTGATGCTGTTTTCCCTGCATCATCAATTTCAAATACAGGAAAAGATATTTTTACATCAAATGAACTCTATTGTAACCTCGGAAAATAAGTTTTAGCATCGAAAGATTTGAAACCCCAAGGGTTGACTGGAGTATAGAAACATGGTTAAAGTGGGGCGGCCATTTGACTGTGCGAAAAAAAGTAGAATCATTCTTTGTAATCCTGGATTCAGTTAGATAAGATGTAATCAATTCTTTTCGATTCTTTATTGCAAAACAAACAAAAAACAATTTTGGTCATAGCAATACAGACACAAAACAAATCTTCACACCTAAGCTATAGGCTGATATCAGCCTGAAAAAATGCGTCTGCAACATTCTGTGAAACTTACTTTCAACATGCCAACACTATTTTGTTTTCAAATTGACCCCTTTTTCAGGATACATTCAAGAACAGCGTCTCAGAGAATTACTCACAACAATGGGTGAACGTTTGACGCTAGACGAGGTAAAATATAAATATTATCAATTATATTACAAAGTGTTTTACCCTTTGTAATACAAAAGAGAAGACAAAGAGAAAACTTGTAATGTAGTTCTTTAATAGGGTGCAATGAACTCGATTGTAATCGATATAAGGTGATCTAATCCATTGTTGCACCTTGAACAGCCCACCTGCCAAGAAAGCCAACATTTTATACATATATAATCTTATTCATCTGATATATATCTTTTAGTACTGCTATAATAAGTGAAATTTTCAAGTTCATCAACACTGGTTTTATCTCGAAAATTATTTTACAAATGTTTGATGATCATTGATACAAAAAACCGATTGAATAACAAACACCATGCGAGGAGGCATTATTGTTTTTACTAAAAATATGCAGGCCACATAATTATATGGTATTCTTGTTTTAAATTCAGGTTGATGAAATATTAAAAGAGGGACCATGTTCAAGAGGACAATTTGATTATATAGCATTCTCAAGAATACTCAAACATGGGAAGCCTAGCAAAAGTACACAATAAACCGAAAGCAATGAAGTACCACACTAAGCTATTAGTTATCCAGGAAAAAACCGCAATATAATCAGTGAGACAGTTGACGAAAATGTATGATACCATGATTACATACATTGGATTTTGACATTTATTCAGTTTATCATTAAAATTCAGTGAAGATTCTGTTTTTGCTTACTTTAATCTTACACTACCTATTGCTAGTTTTCTAAAACCAAAACCAAATATTGATATGTCATACCTGTTAAGACATAGACAAAAATGTTTTTTTCCTTGTTAAACAGTTGTAGTTTTTCATGAATTGTCCATCCAATGAGTCTTTTTATTTAATAATCAAATACTCTTATTTAACATCTGTTTGCGGAATGAATACCATGATTTATTATTTAAACAACATGACTAGGCTGGTGCGGTTTCAATTTCGTCCTCGCTGCATCTTTGTTAGCATTGAGAAGTTTTGCTATTCTCTTCGCTGCAATTACTGAATATGCTGCAATGCAAAGATAAAAAAATGAATACGAGGACCATCTTTTTCTTTTTGTTCGTTTTCTGTTTGTTTGTTTGATTTTTTGTTATACTACATTACATTTTTTTAACGAATATTCATATTGAATGTCGAATTCTAATTTCATATTTATTTGATGATTTGGTGAAATTACATAGTTGTAACAGGAACCAACATTCTTTTCCAAGTTTGGCAGAGCCACAGATTGGAAATATGTTCTTGCACATTAAAAAAAGTCTTACAAATTGTTGCATATATTCAATTCAATTTTAAGTGGGTACGTAACGTTTCAATTTTTTAGTCAACATAAATATGAAAAAAAAATACGGAAATACAAAATTTGCAAAAATAAAGTATTTGCCGTTACTATGGAGGAATATGGATGGATGGATTGGTGTTAACAGCGTCAATTATTCCATGTATATCAGGTTGAGAACATGTTAATGTGATATGAATATAAACCATGCTTTGTAGTAGACCGACGCGCTAATCAGGAATTTTAACGTGCTAGTTCTCAAGGTAGCTTTCACAGGAAGACACGTCACCCTACCTGGACACATTGTTATTTAATCATTTTTTTTCTCTTAATCCTTGGGACTGTGTGATTAGCCAGCAGCAAAAAAAAAAAAAAAAACAACAAATTTTCAAGTCTTTGCTTGACCCGGCCGAGGGTCGAACTTACGAACCACGATACTACGAGGCGGTGTATGTAGGAAGAAACTATGCAGAATTGAAATATCTCCTGAAAATTTAAGGTATCAAATTTTTGTTTGAATTAATAGAAGTTGTAAATTACAGACTTCATAGTAACTTTACAAGCTTTATATAATAAGGCATACCTGTACTAGGCATCTTCGTATCTTTCTTTTCTCGATTTTCACACCCTTTAAGTTGTCCAGATTCTAAGTCTCTTTTCACTAAACGTAAAAGAAAAATTAACCTCTACTGAATCATAAGCTGTTAAACGAGAATTCACATCACATCTAACAGATTGAGAGGATTTTTTAAAAATTTGTTTGCACTTTATTCATTTACTTCAAATTCCATTCAGGAGTATTGAAATTAATTTTTTTTTCAAAGAAATATCATAAAGACGCTTTCGGGCAACAAATCTGATGAGGTAAAATTGGTGAAAAAGTAAAATAAAGAACAAAAATAATGACACTTCCAAAACAAAAAGCATTGTCACAGCAAACAAAATAGTTGGTACTTGCTGCAAAATAGACGATTATTTGATAAAAACATATCAATTCATAAGGAAATCCAGATTTGAATGCGTAAACAAACCAATGAACGGGCAACTCACACTACCCGTCAATGAAGACGTCGGTTACGAGTTCGTAGTTTGCCGAGGACAATGTTTGTATATGGCATGTCTTACTTCTTATAGCCAGTCGTTGTTCATTCCTCATGTGATCTGGAATTTTTCGTCGTCTTTTCTTTTCTCTCCAAAACCCTGGACAAGACTTTTTTATCGGAGAGAAAATATATTGGACCGCAATTTTTTTACATTAGGGTTTTAGTGGCTGTACTTATGACAACATTTACAAATGTGTTTTCCTGTATACCACACGACGCAATACAATTCCGCTAAGTTACAGTCAATATATTAAAATGTATCAATAATCATACCATTCGCCATTGCATATATTTTCTGCTTTCCTTCTGTCCTTTCCTGAAAAATGTTTACTCTTTTATTGATTACAGAACTATTTGAGAAATGAAGTTGGTATGTTAAGTTTGAAAAACGACATTATATACAGAAGGATACATAGAATAAAAATGATCAAAAGACAAAAATTTGTTTGTGGAATGTTTATTTGTTTGTTAGTTTCAATATTTTTAAATCAAAATAAGCATCTGATTCAAATTCAAACATTTCATTGCATTATAAACAATATCGCAATGGAAGTTTGATGTTCATCTTCTGTTTCATAGTGAAGAAATATCAGATTGATCACATGTTCAGGTACTTGTAAATTCTTGGCTTTCAAGTGTCGGGTTTGAACGTTCCCTTGAAGTAGAGCGCCTCGGACGCACCAACTTTATAAAGTGTTTTTTTTTCTCGATTTTGATCTGTATTGCTTTGTGTGTGAACTATTTACAGGTTGGTGATATTTATCAACTTGAATAATGCCATAACTACGCATACCAAACACTCAAATTAGTTGATCTTTTTTTAAATTGGTTCTTATTTCGAAAATGGTTACTCACATATTGTAATTCTTTCCTAAGTCCCTTGTTTGACTCTTTAAGACCTTTATTTACGCTTACTAGGTAGTAAATCGCCATTCTGAAATGATTTCCATAAAACTGACCAAAATGATTACAAATATCATCATCATCATCAAATTATTAACTTGTTTTCCAATGAAGAGGTTCGGAATAGTGACTTTAGTTATATATGAATTACACTTAAATACAAATAATGAATTAGTAATGGACGATAGAACATGATTCATATTTGTGATATCTCGCATTTACCGAAAAAATCAAAAGTAATAACAATTTCTATGAAGAACATGTGTCATCGCCATAAAAAAATGCACTATTAGGGAAAGAACTAAGTGAACAATAACAAGAAGTGTGAATTGTATTTAAAAGTTATCTGTAACCGAAACTATGAATAGGATCCATTAGTTTGCTCCTAAAATTGCTAAAAAGATGTAAAACTTCAACCTTTTAAAATTATGTTAATTTTGAAAATACATCACTGACACGATAGAGCCTGGTAAATGTCGTGCATAAATGTTAGTTGTAATGTCAAAGTCGTATCATGAATAAAGTTAAATTGGCATTTGTGTATTTTGTTATTCAAAATTAGGCGAAAACGTACGGAAGCCGATAAGGGTCATTCGAAAAAAATAATTAATGTCGTAATAACGACATCCTTATGTCGTTATAACGACATCGCTATATATATAAACAAAGAGTATGTATTATGATTGCCAAGAGACTAAATGACACAGAAATTAACAACTATAGGTCATCATAATGCCTTCAATAATGAGCAAAGCCCCCGCATAGTCAGCTATAAAAGGCCCCGAAATGACAAATGTTAAACAATTTAATTCAAACGAGAAAACTAACGGCTTTATTAATGTACAAAAAATGAACAAAAAACAAATATGTGACACAGCAACAAATGACAACCACTGAATTACAGGCTCCTGATCGCTATGTCATAATTACGACAACCTTAGCGTTGTCACTTTTTGAGGCGATAGAAAATTCAAAATGGTCGTCAGTGAGGGCAAAGTTTGTAGCGTAAACAAATTCATCTTTTTTGGGAGAATAATGAACACTAAATGCAATCAAGCTTAATTAAAGTTATTTACTTGCACATACTAGAACTTTATTTTATAATCAAGTCAAATGAGACCCAGTTGAACAGGGGAGCGATTCAGGCTCCTTGGAGCCTCTAGTTATGTTTGGCATGTACAGATTCGTGTAAAATATGACTGCATTTCCATTGCAGATTCTGAATAAGATGAATTTTAAGCTTTTCCCAATAAAGACTATGTTAAACTTTGGACTCATAGTGCTCAGACCCACGGATCTCTGTACCTTCATTTGTACACACTTGAATCTTAATGTACAGTAACTACTGAGGCTTGATGCAAATTATTACTGCATTGCTATTGTTGGTTCTTAATGAGATTCTTCAAGCGTCCTCCCCATTGAAGCCCTATTAAAACTTTGTACCCCAAGTTCTTTTAACCACTGTTCCCCAGGGCCACTATTCCTACAAACTTAAGGGGAGGGTTAGGATGCCGCTAACATGTTTAACCCCGCCACATTCTTTATGTATGTGTATGTCCCAAGTCTTTAATTTACATATTTGTTTTTCGTTTATTTTTGTACATAAAATAGGCCGCTAGTTTTTCTCGTTTGAATTGTATTACATTTGTCATTTCGGGGCCTTTTATAGCTGACATGCGGTATGGGCTGTGATCATTGTTGAAGGCCGTACGGTGACTTTAATTGTAAATTTCTGTTTCATTTGGTTTCTTGTTGAGAGTTGCGTTTTTGAACAAACCAGCGTATCCCAAGGCCTTGATAACCTCTGTAGGCCTCAAATAAGACGAAAAAAACATCAAAATTGGAGAGAAAACTGAAAAAAAATGGTTTCTAACCTCAGGGATATTAACCCTTGGCTATCTTAGATTTATTGCAATCAGTATGCATCAGCATCAGGGTACAGCTCATTTGCATATCATTTGCATATTTTTACAAATACTCGAAATTTAGACAATTTCTGATAACAATTCAGCATGCCAAGGGTTAATATCCCTGAGGTTAGAAACCATTTATTTTCAGTTTTCTCTCCAATTTTGATGTTTTTTCGTCTTATTTGGGGCCTACAGAGGTTATCAAGGCTTTGTGATACGCTGGTTTGTTCAAAAACGCAACTCTCGACAAGAAACCAAATGACACAGGTATTAACAATTATAGGTCACCGTACGGCCTTCAACAATGATCACAGCCCATACCGCAAAGTCAGCTATAAAAGGCCCCGAAATGACAATTGTAATACATTTCAAACGAGAAAAACTAGCGGCCTATTTTATGTACAAAAATTAACGAAAAACAAATATGTAAATTAAAGACTTGGGACAGACACATACATTAAGAATGTAGCGGGGTTAAACATGTTAGCGGGATCCCAACCCTCCCTCTAAGTTTGTAGGAATAGTTGTCCTGGGGAACAGTGGTTAAAAGAACTTGGGGTACAAAGTTTTAATAGGGCTTCAATGGGGAGGACGCTTGAAGAATCTCATTAAGAACCAACAATAGCAATGCAGTTATAATTTGCATCAAGCCTCAGTAGTACATTAAGATTCAAGTGTGTACAAATGAAGGTACAGAGATCCGTGGGTCTGAGCACTATGAGTCCAAAGTTTAACATAGTCTTTATTGGGAAAAGCTTAAAATTCATCTTATTCAGAACCTGCAATGCCAAACATAATTAGAGGCTCCAGGGAGCTCGAATTGCTCCCTATTCAAGTTCTAGTATGTGCAAGTCTGAGGTGCTAGTGAATAACTTTAATTAAGCTTGATTGCATAAAGTGTTCAATATTCTCAACAAAAAAAGATGAATTTGTTTACGATACAAACTTTGCCTTTACTGGCGACCATTTTGAAATTCCTATCGCTTCAAAAAGTGAAAAGTTAAACTATAAGGTTGTCGTTATTATCAGATAGCGGTCAGGAGTCTGTAATTCAGTGGTTGTCATTTGTTGCTGTGTTACATATTCGTGTTTCGGTCTTTGTTTGTACATTATTAAAACCGTTATTTTCACTCGTTTGAATTAAATTGTTAAACAGCTGTCATTTCGGGGACTCTCCCTCTGGTATCTTTCGTCCCTCTTTTATAGCTGACTATGCGGGGGCTTTTCTCATTATTGAGGGCATTATGATGACCTATAGTTGTTTATTTCTGTGTCATTTAGTCTCTTGGCAATCATAATACATATTCTTTTATATATATAGCGATGTCGTTATTACGACATAGCTATGTCGTAATTACGACATAGTGATGTCGTAATTACGACTTGTTATGTCGAAATGACGACATAGCGATGTCGTTATAACGACATGTTATGTCGAAATTATGACATAGCGATGTCGTTACAACGACATGTTATGTCGAAATTACGACATAGCGATGTCGATATAACGACATGTTATGTCGAAATTACGACCTAGTGATGTCGTTATTACGACATGTTATGTCGTAATTACGACATAAAATTATTTTTTTGAATGGCCCTTATCGGCTTCCGTAAAAACGGACACCACTTTTTTTTGTTTTTTTTTTGTATTTATTCATTTGTTTTTCTTTATCCCTTTTTCGCTGTAGGAACATATTTATAGTTTACTCACAATGGAATAGATTAAATGTCAAAATATTCATTAAAACAGAAATAGTGAAAATGCGTTTACTTATCTTTTCACAGTATTCGTCTCATAATTTTTTGATTTGAATATGAATAGGAGCAACTCATTACGATGACGGTGTGTTTAGTACTGATAATCTTAATGAAACTCAAATATTTTCCTCTTATCGATGTTCCCACTGTCTATTTCACTCTGCTCAGCTCTTCATAAAATTGGAACATCACGACTTTGTGACGTCAAATACGTTAACCCGGCAACTTTGACCCGGACATGTCACCGACGTCTTAAAATGAATGAACCGACGTTGATAAGTTTGACCCGTTATAACGAACTCATCAACGTCGGTTCATTCATGAAGACGTCGGTGACATGCCTGGGTCAAAGTTATTTAGGTCGGGTTAACGTCATCTTTCGGTTTGCTGGCGACACAAAGAATAAAACACTTGTTTCTATCATGCAAAATACATAAATACAATACGATAAATCAATTTTCAGATTTTCATCATATTTATATTGTAAAATATCAGCTGCTGGACACAATATGAAGCCTTTTTGAACTCCTCTGCTGTGCTCACTCGACAAAAAGCTTCATATTGTGACTCGCAGCTGATATTTTACAGTATCAATATGGAGACAACCTGATAATCGGAATATATGAATAAAAGAAGATCACAAAAAGGTTGAATTAAAGACAAAAGATTCATCCGGAGTACAAATACTTAAAAAAGATACTTACCTTATTCAATAAAAAAAAAATCAACCTTTTTGTATGTACTATATTTTAGAAAAGAAGTAGCATGTTATTATTGTTGATATAATGTCTGCCTTTTCCGAAGTACCCTTTTTGACCAATCGATAAGGTTCAGTATTGAACATAACTTATCTATCGGCACCTTTGTGGTCGCTTTTGTCAAACCTTCTCCAGTTTCTCCAATCTGCATTATCCAACCATGGGTGCTTTTATATATCATCACTGATTCGGTTAAAATGTTTCCTTCTTCTGACGATTTTGAATACTTACTGGCCGATACTGTCGATTTCAATTAAATTTTAGGAGAACGAAAAACTGGTTAAACCAAATCACATTGTGTGTCTGTATTAAGTCAGGCTTTCTATACCTTGTCTAGTATGGGTATTGTTTTTTTCTGATGAGTCGGGTGTTGATGAGGTCTGTTGTACTTGTTAATTCCAGTTATCCTGTTTATGTATTTTTAGCTAACACACATGTGTTACATGTACCGCTCAATTCCTTTATTTTTAAAGTAATATGCACATGTAAGGTATTTACAGAAAAACAACGGATCATCTTTCATATACTAAATTAGTTTTCTTTGCCGTATCAGAAAAGCTGATCAAACGTTATATGCGGTATGGGTTTTGCTCATTGCTGAAGACCGTATGGTGACCAGTCATCTATAGTCGTTAGCTTCTATGTCATTTGGTCTCTGGTGGAGATTTGTCTCATTGGCAATTATACCGTATCTTCTTATTTTTATATTGTTAATAAGAATGATTACACAAGAGAAAATTAGATAACGTCAAGTTAATAGACTACAAAAAAAATCAGAATTGACCTTCTGTAGGAAGAAAAATCAGACGTTGATAAACCAGGGTTATGTCAAAGAACGTCTCGTCCTTTTTCTAAATAAGTTCATCGGAAGATACCAAGACCTTGTTATAAATATTCCGTATCAACTTCACAAATAATATATGACGGTTTATCATCTTAATCACGTGTTATAATGTTCTTTTATTTGTCTTTGTAAATTATTAATCTTTATTGTTTAGTCCATTCTTGGTAATATCCTTTCGGCGTGGCCAGTACTTATGCATCCCGCCAATGTGTTGTTGTGCTGTGGTCATTTTTTGTATTCTTGTCTTTCATTTTTCCGTATGTGCTTTGTCTATTTGCCATTTTGTTTTTCTTTGTTGACATATTTGTTTGTTTTTATAGTGATGAAGATTATAACACAATGTTGACTACTGTACTCGCATTTTTTACATTTTTACCTATTATGTCTGTTTGTTTGGTTCACACATGGTTGTCAATATAATGGAATTTTATGCGACTGTCATACAAGTGAGAGATTTAGCTAGCTATAAAACCAGGTTTAATCCATCATTTTCTACATAAGGAAATGTCTGTACCAATTAAGGAATATGACAGTTGTTTTCCATTCGTTTGATGTGTTTGAGCTTTTGATATTGCCATTTGATAAGGGACTTTCTGATTTGAATTTTCCTTGGAGTTCGGTCTTTTTGTTATTTTACTTTATACACAATAGAAATGAATACCACGGATCATCCGTTTCCATGAGTTGGGCTGGCATTTTGACACGAGATCAATCGGTTAACACTATATATGTTGTGCTCATTTGAACAGATTTCTTTCGATGTTTCGAAATAATTATGTATAAAAGTACATTACCCCAACAGCATCAGTAATGGAATGATCACACCAGGAGACGCTGCATAGTTTATACCAGCTGTCATGCTAGATGGCAATTCATCATCAATGGCATTGCTTATCACTTCAAACATTTTCTTTTGTCCACTGAAATTGGATTTTATTTAGATTCATTTAGTAGCGGCAATGGAGGTTTTCTCCCTAATGTGAATAATTATATTAAAAAAACACAGAAATGACGGAGAGGGAACTAAAGCAACGACTGTGTTGTCAGAGGACAAGCAGAGAGCGAGAAGGTCAATAAACGAAAAAGACAAAATATTAATCTCAAGACATATGCGGATAATGATTGATTGAAATTTTCAGTTATAAAATAAAATATGGATATTATTTCATCGGAATTTACTGTTAAACAATTTTGGAACTCATTATAAATTAGGGAACATATCTTCCTCATGTGAAGCTGATTCCTAGTCCGGATTTTTGCTGGTCCATTTTGCTTTTATCAACTCTTAAACGCTAGTACAAGTCTTAGATTTTTCATATACTTTGGCCTCGAGCATCACTACAGAGACATTAATTCAGTACCGAAATGTGCATCGGGTGCTGTAAAGATGGTTAAAATATAATGTTATTATATATATATATACAGGTATAAACTACAGGCAATCTTGAAACAATTTGCCATATATGAAGCAATTGGAAGTGAACTTGATATCTTTTGGAAGTAGCTTAAAGAGATACCGACTATGATTCCTGCTCCACAATTGACATCCATCGCGTTGATCATGCCAAGTAAAAAAATCTATAAAACCTTTTTGAACTGTTTTGGAGTAGGCCCTTATTTGGCCCAAAGATGAATTGAAAAGTTTCCATACATATTCTTAAAATTGTCCTAACAACACTAAGGTACAAGGTGTTCAGAAAATAAAAACACATTTCACAGTCAACGAGTTACCATGGCAACAAACCATGACGAAACTTGTATATTTTGTATTTTCCTTGTTTTACACCCACTTTTGTGTATATATTAGAGTTGAAAAGTATGTGCGCAACCAAGAAACAACTTTATATTTGGTAGGATTATGTCATTAGTTTTAATAAACTTCTCTTAAATTATTGTGTTGTTTCACGGCTGCGCACGATGCTTCTACAATGGAAATAATAACTGAACACATCATAATGTCTTCAGTTTTCTTCATTTTCATGAAAATGGTGCAGATTATGGCGTAATTGTGACGTCATAACATACAAAATCTAATGTAATTCATTTATATTTCTTGATTTTATGCATTTCCAAACACTATGTTCATATCTGAGGTAGTTCTCAAAGAGTTTATTTTTCTCGGGCGAAAACCGACCCTTATTAACCCTACTTCTTTCTCTTTAAAAAGCATGTGCTGAAATATAACAGGCTTTCTTATCTGTGTTTAGAAGTCTTTTATTTACGATTAACTAAACTATTTTGTTTTAAAAGAATCGTCTTTGATTATGAAAAAATAAATAAATTTGAAGGTCAATTGTTTCGCTGAAGCAAAGCACAAATCATTTCAGTTATTCTAAGTTCATATGTAAACACAGTACTAATTTACACTCATTGGAAATGACAAACAGCCTGAACTATTGACATGACTATGATAACGAGTGTCGTTGCATACGACGATTATATCTGCATAAACCCCTTTAAAACTTTATACGTCGGAAGAACTTATCTGGTTTTACCTCCAAACAAAAATGCTCAAAGCCAAAAATTTTAAGTCAAGGATGTTTATAAATGTATGAAAGAGTCTCGAAACGTAGGCACAAAAAAAAGTTTAACAAAAAACTCCAAGACGAATTCAAAAAGGGGAAGCCCATAAAAACTGACAAAATCAACCGCTATTAATCAACAGAACAAGTGAAAAACAACTGCCACATTCTTGACTTTGTTCAGGAATTTTCCGAATACAATCCTGTTTTGGTCACAAGAAAATTAATATCCATTAATGCAAATTTGAAGCATGATTGTAGCATTAATACCAGCTTTTATTTTAGCAAGGAATTGATAAGATATTTGACAAATAACAATTTGATTCAATAAAGGCAACAGTAGTATACCGCTGTTCGAAACTCATAAATCGATAGAGATAAAAACAAATCCGGGTTACAAACTAAAACTGAGGGAAACGCATCAAATATAAGAAGAGAACAACGACACAACAAAAACACAACATTAAAATGTAACACACAGAAACGAACTATAATATAACAATGGCCATTTTCCTGACTTGGTACAGGACATTTTAAGAAAAAAAATGGTGGGTTGAACCTGGTTTTGTGGCATGCCAAACCTCCCGCTTTTATGGCAACGTCAAACACAACATCAAATCAGATCATCCACTCTGTTCCGTTAGATTTGTTTGTCTTGTCGTACACAAACAAATCTAGAAAAGAAAATTGAAAGATCCCATTTTAATCAAATGGAACTAGTAGGACAAATACATTTAATATCTCAGTGGATTTAACATATTATCACCCAGTGAAACATATTTTCTTTTGCTATTTTTCAATTTTCTTTTCTGTTAAAAAAATTCATCAAAGATACCAGGCTTAAAATTTGGTACACCAGATGCGCGTTTCGTCTACGCTAGAATCGTTATTGGCGCTCGAAGAAAAACAGCTGCAAGGAAAATCATGTATTTCAAATTTGAAGAGCATTAATAATTGAAAATGCATACACAGAAAAAAAGAATGTACAGACCATTTTTGTTTTAACTCATCGGAAACAATGTTTGCAGTATAAGAGCGATCATTACAAGAATGGTAGTCTAATCTTAGTTTGGATTTGTTTGGCGGGTTATGCTTGTTAAAGTAAACTCTTTAACTTATTGACGCACCCGGTCTCGCTTCAATTTGATATCACCGAAATAACCTGAGTTTTTGATTTACAAGCCCTAAATATGATAAACTATGGTTGCCTCTTAATAATGAAGATCAAACTTGTGTCCTTTCAATATTTAAAAAAAAAACTAACAAACTAACTGATTTTTGGAGCACATTTCTGACGCAAAATAAGAATTTTTGTGTTCTTTTGACACAAAGATAATATTGTCCTCATTTCTTGTACACAACCGACATCTGATAAGTGCTCTCTTCGTAAATTCCTATCACTTGTGCAATAGTGACAAATTGATATAATTAGTTTATTGATGAATACTTGAAGCAAACTTGCAAGTTGCATTATTTTGTGAAAGAATAAGGTTAGACAACTGTTACTTTAAACCATCTTCATTTACCAAATCACTATGGTCAAATGCTTTACAATCGGATATGATTCAATGAATTTTTACAAGGATACACGATAGATGTCATCAGTAGAGCAGTAGCAACTGATTAAAAATAATACGGAGAGGCGGCATTATTGCCAATGAGACTACAGTTCACCATAGTTCAAATGATGTAAATATAAGCTATGAGTTTATAACCTTTTATTTTTATTAGAACTTATTTAAGCGTATGCCGGTCATATTTAGAAAAAAAAACTAACCTGAATGGTCCACAGTGTGGTGATGGTTCTATAGCCACAATGGCAAACAATGGTGGCAACATCGACAAGAACAACATGACTAGTAATAATGCGTAATAAAAGTTGTTTGATCGTGATGCCTTAAATATGCCCTCCTGTGGAACATTACATACCATTACAGCCCAGGAACGTAAATAAAACAAGATAAATAATTTTGCCAGGTTCAGTAATGGCAGACCTGGCGCGAAAAATGTCCCTAGCCTGAAATGAAAATAGGTATTTAATCAAATTCGTTTGAAAGTTGAAATACGATCAAAGTTCTTTTTTATAAACGGTAAAAGACGCTTATAGTTGAGTGTGCAAAAATAGGTTACCTTAATATTTCATTCAATGATTGGTATAAAAACAATTATATTAAGGTTAATGTTGGGTTTCTTTTTAAAAGCCCGATTTTAGAAGTCAACTCTTATATTACAATTTTCGAAATTGTATGTGATCACTATGATTTCCATCAGCGTATCTACAATTAGTAATATTATCAATATGCTACGTACCATATAACACCCTGGTTACTTATCAAGTGTAGTATGTTTTCTGCAGTATGAAAATCAGCATACTCCGGCTGCAATGTAAGAAAAAATTTAGAGAACTAAAACATCATCAAAGATAATGTAGAAATGGCGTTTCCTATGCTTAATACACTGATATTTAAAAAAAAATTTGATTGAAATGTGCTCACTAAAGGGAGATCAAATACAAGAGAGTTAGACAAAAGAATGACAGTCACACAATAGCGAAAAGAATAAAAAAAACGAACAGACAAACAAAACAAGCAACACGAAACTAACAAATATTAGGAGGGGGGACTCAGTTGTCATCACTTCTGAGAGTAACCTGAAATATCTGTCTAATAAGTTGAACAGTTTGATATAAACACTGTTGTAGATCCATGGGATCTGTAAGGTTAAGCAGTTCCTGTCCCTCTTGTTTCAACCGTCGTTTTGCTCATGACAGGTAAACTGAGATAATTAATCTTATTTAGTGTTTAAGAGAGGCGGAAGACACCAAAGAGATATTCAATTTCATAAGTCGAAAACAAACTGACAACCTAACGGGAGAAACATATCATTTGTTTATCTGTAACAGAAATATACCTTACAAATCATTAAGAAAAATTATGAAAGAACACAAAGAACGAAAGACATATAGAGTTGCATTTAAACAATGTTGATTGCAAATTCTAATTATACTTACAAATGATTGTTCCATGTCCCAGCAACAAACTGGATTAAAGTATCTGACAAAAAGTCCTCTTAGAAATTCTTGTATTACAATGGTACCAATAACAAATACAAGGTCCATTACTGTTAGCTTAAATACTTCCTGTAAAGGGAACACTTCCTCCTTTGATTGAATTCAATGATTTCTGCGTCTATGTTTTGATATATATAAACAACAAAGCTAGATAACGATTGATAACTGTAGCATTAAAAGCAGTACTTAACATTGTTTTCCATTACCTGTGATTTTCTCCAGATATCGTTTCTCCCTTCACTAACTTTTTAAGAAGTAAAATGAAGGAAAAGTCTAAATAAGTGGTTGAAAAGGAATCTCTTCGATATAGCAAAACCATTTTCTAGAAGAATTAAGTTCCATAAAATTTAGATTGTAATTATATACATGTATATGTTTCAGTTCTTATATACACTACAAAGACACTAATATGTCAGAGCTTTTGTTGTTTGTCATTTAGGAATCTTAAACATTCTAAGACCGAGTGTACCTAATGACTGTTATGTTTAAAATCTGCCTTTATAGATATTATTAGAAATACTATTATAATGTGAAAGATTTACAATACCTAGATCAAAAACAAGGTTATCCGCCATACACCAATGCGGTGATCCTTTTTGGAAATTATAGCGTTGTGTAATTTATGCGTGAACCCTTAAATAAACCTTAAGTTGTACATACTTGACCTATCATAGTTTCCCAACATAAACTAGAATCTAGTGTTTCTGGCTGAATGCTACAGTTCATAGAATCCACAGAAGGCATCGTTATTGACGATGTTGTTGTGTTGCACGGATCCTCCAATAGTATGGTATGTAATTCCCTTTTCTGACAAGAACACATCATTTTTTAAATATAAACATATAATAGTTTAGATTTTTTTCTGACTTTGAAAATTCTGTCAACTACTTGTATAGTGGGTCTTTAGCAATTGCATTCATGTGCCAAGGAGTAAGACGAAAAATTTCACAATAACGTTTAAATAATGAATAATTTATTGAGTATTTTTGTCATTTTCGTTTTAAATAATACTTGTGGTATAACTTGTGAATTTCCGTTTATTATTTTTATAGGTTTAAGGCATACGTTTTCAATACTATATAATTGTCAAAATAGTTTATCTTAATTAGATAATGCTTACCAAGTCTTCTTGCTTCCAAAATAGTGCAATAAATAATGTATACAGGTTCAAAAGATTCAATCCGAATATCCTTGGAAAAAAATACAGAATTACAAAATATGCGTATACATGTAGTTCTATGTATGAAATAATGAATGGAAGTAATTTTAACCATCATTAATCCAGATGAAACTATTTATAAATCTGTTGAACTCCCAACTTAGGTGGGTCGACGGGTTATGCATACATCACCTGTCTTCGAGACGAGTCATTTCCAGGAGCAATTACAATCCCATGAACATAAGAAATAATGCCACATCGATAATAAGGGCAAGTGGAATCTTCGACAGAGTTAAATTGTTTCTGGTACGTTAAGAAACTGAGATATCGTAACTATAAATTTGTTATGGCAAACATAGAACTTGTGACCTGAACATATTATCGTTGCTTGACATTCACTTGAAAAAAGACAAATGCAAAAGTGTGTAACACGGCCTGATTCAGAGTGTAAATATATGCTATGCTTTAAAATTTGTATCTTGTATATATATTTGTGCATAATTTTTATCTTTTTATAATGCAATCGAAGTCAACTGACAAATTTTATTTTTTTCTATTTTAGATGTCTGCCATATTCTAATTCGGGACTTTAATAATGATTTCTTTTATCTGGTAAAATTTATCAGTTCCTGTTGACCTATTCAAAAAAACTCAAAAGTTTACCCCGGCTGAAAGATGAGTTATGCTTTAAAGATCTGTTTGGATTAGATGCGTCGACAGGATAAGCGTCTCCTGCTATGCATACATTACAAGCCATTGCATGAGAATAGACACTCAGTCGAAATGTCACAATCGAGAATAGAACACAAACGGTAAAATTACAAATTAGATGAAAAAAGTATAACAAAAATACCGAACTCCAAGGTAAATTGAAAAACGGGAAGTCCATAAAAACTGAAAAATCAAACGTTATCAATCAACGGAACGATTGAAAAACAACTGTCATTTTATTATAGAAGACTATCATCTGGTATCTAAGGATCAATGTCGCTAGCGAGTTGAGACACAGATATCGTATTGCTCAGCTAAATTGTGAAGGTGACCATAAAATTTATGTAGTGTCATTTTAAGTCGTTCTTTCTCATAATTCTGTTAAACCAGTTTTCGTGTGAGGAGCAAACATCATCTAATTTAGTGTGAACATGCACGAGTGTAACGTATTCGTTGAGATATATAACACCATACGACGAGACAAGAGCGTATTTTACTGCTGAGAAATGGAAAGTTGACAATTGGAAAGTTGAAATCATCACCATAACAAAATGTATTTTATCTTACCTTGCAAGTTGCCATCGCAGATTTACTCTTGGGTGATACTTCTCCATAATGGAAACGATATCAAAGAAAGTTGGGAACAATGTTGATATGAGTGTCATCACTACAGTAAGCTTTAAATTACAGATAGTTTGCTGTTAGTTACTAATTTTTAGATAAATGTTTAAGGCTTAAAAGTCATAAAACTTGACCATGGAATAATTTAAATGGATTCATGGATAAAAAAACCAAGTTACACATTATGTGTTGGTGATAGTTACATTGTTATAACATATGACAATATGAAGATCCAACACTCTTAACAAAATCTAAAGGACTTCTGTCAAAGAAATGTGAACGATACCAAAGGGACATTCAAACTCTGTTAAACAGTCAATTTAAGATTTATATAGGGGATTTTTAAACGTAAAATTTGGGTTTCCAAAAAACGATAAGTTCAAAGATGAAAAAATAATTATTAGTCGAACTGTACTAACTGATAATACCGGTTCATTACGTTTGAGCGCATTATCATTATATTTGCGCGTATAAATCTTTGCGTCAAAAATCAAACTATTAATCACTAATCAATCAATCAGTCAATCACAATATCGGTTAGAAACGTAAAATACTTTCTTGCAAAAAAAAAACATCATTTCTACAACTACGTTTGATCAATTTACATTACTCTTACTGGATACCTCTTGCTGGTCCCAGAATCCGATTTCCAGGTGGTCTCTTCTGTGTCTTATTTCTACTCCTCTGGATCGTTCTACACACAGTTGTATAATGTAGGTACTAAGGGCTAACAACATCAAAACTATGACATTGGCCAATATTCGTAACAGTGTCAGTATTTTTCTAAAAAAAAAAATGCACACCAGCCTTTCTTTTTTCTTAAACCAAGGTTCCAACTTTCCTAGATGGCGTTGAATTTTCCTAGAAAGGTTTAGTTTTCGTTTATTTGCTCAAACGTATTTATATTAGCATACTGGGATTTCAAAGTTTTTGGTTCGAAAGCGTTCGTTTCAGGTAAAGCTTGATATAAAAAGTGTTTTTAGCAAAGCAAAATAATACACGTAATCTTCAGCTTTAAAACGCATTTTTATCGAAATATATAAAGATTAGTATATACTAATTAATTTGTAATATCTATATTTTAGTTACTATGTTACAATTGAATTAAAGCACGTATTTCATTTAAATTAGCATTTTTTTTGTTCACATTAATCTTTCAAACCTTTTGGTAAGATTAAATTTGAACATTTTGGTTAGATTAAATTCAAACCTTTTGGTAAGATTAAATCTTTTGAAATTCTATTCAAGTATCCACGAAGATATGTTATGTTTATCAATGTGTACTTTTTCTTAAGTTCTTAAAATATTTATGTGTTTGCTGTTTGTTTAGGTTATATTATCTTGAGTTACGATTCGTCAATTTTCTTTGATTTTTTTTTATTGTTGTCTGAGTTCTGAGTTCAAATTCATACAAGTCAGAACAGGAAAGTAAGCTGAATTAATTTACAAAGTATAACTGAGTTTGAATTTCACATATTTGTTTAACGCCTATGTTTTACAACACTTTATTTTTAGCAACTACTTCACCTTACTTATTTTGTTCCTGTGACTTTTGCTTCTCCTCTAAAATGCTTTCCTGTAAAGTGGGAAATAATACAGATAAACAAATCACATTTAAAGTTTATTATAATTTATATCAGTTGATATCTCACACTGCACCCTGATAAGATATATTAGATAAGACATTTGGAAAGAACAAAACGTATGCATAGTCTGCTACATATTTCACCCAGGAATACAAATTCATTCAGGTTGATTTTTTGACTGTATGAAACAACTTTTTTTTAATCTTCAGAACAATATCGAGACCAAACGTTTATGTCTAAGTTGTTCTTCGGTATACTTTGTAAGTTTGAAAAAAAAATCTTTATACATCAAGAATAGTAATCAATTTTATATCAAATTTGGTTTGAATATAATATTTTGTGGAAGAGAACCCTTTTAAGTATCGTGTTATATATGCCAAATACTATTGGATTGAGACAACTGAAACAAAAAAGGACGAGGTAACATACGTCAATCTAAGCAGCAGAGGATAGCTTACAAACAAAAATAAAAACCAAAAAAGAACTTAAAAGGACTGCGACACTGTCGCACTTCCTCTACTTCGGAACTTTTGAGAAGAAATTGAATGCATCAACGTTAAATATTGCGAAAACTGTATATTTGAAAACTTCAGAAACAATAAGTTTACCTTAAAACCTGTGGCAATGGAAGCATACTTGTTTGTGGAGGTTTCAGGATGTCCAATTGTATAGTCCCAACCACTAAATAGTTTCCTGGAGAATGTAAAGTTCTCCTCTTGACTAGAAAAGCCGCTTCTTTTGCTATTTGATGCCATTCTTTAAAAAGATCTTCAATTAATTAATATCAGTTGTTCGTAATTTTTTTTCAAGACGGTAAGTTGAAAGGTTTATTTCCAATTCGAACACCCATACAAATGTAACTATGTTACTTTAGCGTGAAATTATGATTACAGTCTGACATTGTTAATTCCGGTAGTTTATGTTGGCTTTACAATTCAACTATTTAAAGTTCCGTCCATTAGAACTGCATAAAAATTAGAGAAGAAAAATTAAGGGAAGCTTATCGGCATACTGTTGACGTACAAGTATTTTTATAAAGAAGTCCGCATGATTAATATATCATTTGAGTGAAAACTACAGAGACATGTGGTAATTGTTCTGTTTTCGTTTCAATTTTACTAGAATAAGACACTGAGAATATTGTGACGTCTAGTTTACAATGTGGATACTAAAAAATTCCAAAGATCTTTTAGAGTACATAAAATCTAAGACTCTTTCATCTTGCAATAGTATTCAAACATTTGACTTTTCTACACTTTACACAAGTATTCCCCATTCCAAACTAAAAGACAAATTGAAAGAGTTGGCCATGCTTTGTTTCATAAAAAAATATTGTTTACGTAGATACAAGTTTCTTGTCTAAGGGAGGGATGAATCGTACTTTGTAAAAAATCACTCTGATTCAAACAAACAATTCCCTGAAACTGACATCATCAAGATGCTTGATTTCTTGATTGACAACATATTTGTTCCTTTATTCACATGAGGCTGACTTCATACAGGAACGTCTTAGGAAGAAAGAAAAGAAGTTAGCAGTATCCTTTAATTTCACATTCCGCTATATAGATTATGTTCTTTCACTAAGTAATTCACAATTTGGTGACTACGTTGAACGCATCTATCCCATCGAACTTGAGATAAAGGATACAACAGATACAGTTAAGTCTGCCTCATATCTTGACTTACATCTAGAAATTGACAATGAAGGTCGGTTAAAAACAAAACTTTACGACAAAAGAGATGATTTCAGCTTCCCAATTGTGAACTTTCCATTTCTATGTAGCAACATTCCAGCAGCGCCTGCATACGGAGTATATATCTCCCAGTTGATACGATATTCCAGGGCTTGTGTTTCCTATCATGAATTCCTTGATAGAGGATTGCTGCTCACAAGGAAGCTTTTAAATCAAGAGTTCCAAGTGGTAAAGTTGAAATTATCCCTTCGTAAATTTTACGGACGCCATCACGAGTTGGTTGACCGTTATGGAATATATGTTTCACCGATGCCGTCGGATATGTTCCAATTGTCGTAACAACAATCTCGTCCCCCCCCCCCCCCCCCCCCCCGAATGTGACCTTCCGAATTAGATATATCACCGGGTTTGTACTTACATGAACAACACGACGGGTGCCACATGTGGAGCAGAATCTGCTTACCATTCGGGAGCACCTGAGATCACCGCAAGTTTTTGGTGGGGTTCGTGTTGCTCAGTCTTTGGTTTTCTATGTTGTCTTGTGTACTGTTGTTTGTCTGTTTGTCTTTTTCGTTTTTAGTCATGGCGTTGTCAGTTTATTTTTGACTTATGAGTTTGAATGTCTCTTTGATATCATTCGCCTCTCTTTTACAACAGAATACAAACTGAGAGTGTCGACTCACGCTGTGGTAGATATTTGTTTGGTTGAAAAACATGATCTTACTCAGCTCGGAGATAGTGCTGCATCACAACAGTTCACACTGATTTTATACGTTTGAAAATTCTTGAACCATTATAACCACAACACAAGTTTAGAATATAATATGGAAATCCTTAGCTATAACTCCGCCACCCGCTTGAGATACAGATACGTAAATGGATGATCTCGCGGAATTTTATGAAATTTTGCCTACAACTAGAGTACGAGGGACTGCACATGAACATCGAAACAGTAATATATAAAACTTTTATACTTACTGAGATATAGCAAAAAATCGTGACGTCGTCGCTAGGAATGTTATTTTTCGACGTTTTTAGATATTACAAAGAGACTTGAATGAATTATATAGCAAAAACTAATTCGGTGTTGACCCCCTTTAATTTTCATATTAGTAAAGCGGAAATTTTAGTGGCAATAACATATTAATTTTAAAGATAATTCATAGGATACGTTTTTGAGAAAAGGCAATTTAAAGTCATTTGTTTCAATATTTACGTGCATCCTATACATTTGTACTCCTTACTACAGATTATTCAATTTCCTATATATCCGAGAGTATAACAGTTACTTTTCGATATTCATATGCAGTTCCACATGCTCAAATTGCTTTCAAAATTTCATAAAAATCCGTGAGATTGCCCATGTACGTACCTGTTACCTCAATAAAGCATTGATTTGAATTGACGATACGTACTAAGTCGTTAACATCATTTCCTAGACCACAGAGACTGAATAATATATATGATCGATTTACTCACTGCCGCAGTACCACGATGAAACTGAAGGCAAATCCAGCCAATCCTATAACCATGTATGCTAGAGGCAGTCTGTAGCTGTTACCGATTTGTTTATCGTGCCCATAATAACCATAGAACAAGAGTGAGTATTTCACTATCCCCTTATTTAAAAAATACACACACAAATAAGTATATCATGAAATGATGAATACGATTTTTAAAAAGTTTTAAATCCAAAAAAAAGCCTTTTTTACAAATATACTTTGCCAACATTTTCAATAGGCCAGTTTGAGGCAAAGCATAATCTGCCACCATTATATATAGACAGGAAATGGTCCCAGTTATTATACACTCGGAATGAATGAATCCTGATGAATGATCTTGAAGGGTGCAATAATCATTAAAATTAGAGTTTTTTGGGGTAGAGTGTTTTCATCCTTTTGTGTTCTATTGTAATATAAGTTGTAGCAGTAGTTAAAGAAGTAATAAGTTGTAGCAGTAGTTAAAGAAGTAATAAGTTGTAGCAAATATAATCGTTATTACAAATATAATCGTTATTACAAATATCGTTATTACAAATATAATCGTTATTACAAATAGTATTTAACTTTTCATAAAATAGGAAATATGCGAAGAAAAATTCGCAATCATAATTTTACAACCTTTTTCTGACACATGTATAAAAAACATATTTTACATGATAATTTGGTTTCCATGATAAATGAACTTACTTCGGCATCCCATATAGATTTTAGGTCTGAGGCTGTTTCTTTTTCGTCTTCTGGTATTGTTTTATAGCCAACACTACCACTGGGACGTCCGAAGAGAATTTGAAATAAAACAGTTAATTATATACTTAAACATAACCACTTAACTTGCATTGTCTCTAGACTTGTTACTAGTGAAAGAAATGGGAAAAGAATAAAAAATGACATTCGTAACAAAGGAAATCTCTGTTTCCGCAACTGCGAGCAATCTTCAATGCGATATTGATCAGTGATGTTTTTGTTTTCTATTAAACCGATAATATGGAGGTAATATATAAGTGTATTCTCTGTAATGATTTTTATTATGCGTTCTGTAATGCACCTTGTGTTTGATCTGATCTACATTGAAATTTAAACGCTGCCAAATATCCATGTGCTTGTCCCATGCCTTCGTCATAGCTGAATGTTTTCGTTGTTTAAGAAATTCGATGTTGATGGCATATCTTTTCAAGTCTTCGTTTTTATTCACAACATTACTTTACTAACCTCCAGACGATTTAGAGCTTGATATATATAGTGTGAGTCACTCCTCTATTACTGAATAAAATCTGTATGTTAACCTCTTGACGTCTTTGGTATGTGTTTTCTTGTTGCTTTCTCATAGACGTATACCCCATGCATCTCTTTTTATTCACATAATTTTAAAGATATACTGAAAATAGATTAAATTTTCCAATATATTCGATTGACATAGTTGTACGTTTTCAAGATTGTATTAACGAATATGTACATATATTGCAAACAATTAAGAATAACATGAACAACACCATAACCCTTTTTCTTCTCAAGATGACTTGTAGAAGCATACTTATCTCAGGGATAATCAAAAAGCATAACGGCAAAGCTGCTAGCCAAATGTTTATCCACATTAGCCATCGGAGAAATACAAAATATGATGAAACAACAGAACCAAAATGACCTAGAAAAGTAAAGGAAATAATATCTTTATAGAGAGGCTGTGGATCATTAAAAGTGATTGCACAAGGTCATACTTTTCCCAGACTTTTAATGACGTTTTTACATTTAATCTATTGGGTGTGTACTGATTGATACTTTAGTTTGTGAGAACATGATTTATTTATCTGGAACTTGCTTTCAGTAATCATGAGTTCTCTCAGATTCGTACTTTGTGTCTTTTGTTCTTATACTAGTTGCGCTTTTTGCTTCGTATCAATCTATTGAGTTAAGCCGTTTCCAATTGCGTTTCACAGTTTTTTCTTATGTTGTGCTGTTACACCACTGTCCCAAGTTAGGGGAAGGTTGATCGAGCGCTCCGAATATGTCCAACCTCGCGGCATTCTTTTGTTAATTATTATTACATATAGGTTTCTGTTGTGTCGTAGTTCTCCTCTTATATTTGATGTGTTTCCCTCAGTTTTAGTTTGTAACCCGAATTTGTTTTTTTCTCAATCGATTTATGAATTTCGAACAGCGGTATACTACTGTTGCCTTTATTTATTTGGAGCCTGTAATTCATTGGTTGTCGTTGATTCATGTCTCTCATATTTGTTTTTCGTTAATTGATTTGTTGGTTTGTTATAGGTCAGGCCGTTAGTTTTCTCGTTTGAATGGATTCACATTTGGCCATTCAAAGAATACTATTACTTCTTTTATTAACCTGAATTTAAACAATATATTTACTTTCAATGGCCTTGACTCTCATTTCCCATGGAATCAAAATCTGTGCAAAATCGTCAAAACTTCTTTTGAATCTCCTCATGGACTTGAATTATACAAAAAAAGAAAGCAACAAAACAGCCGTTGATTATGTGCAGTCGCTTTAATAGATCAACGTTCTTTTTTTTCTCTGGTAATTTATATATGATATGATATGATTATAAAATATTGCTTTTGTCTTATCTGATTACCCTTTTTCTAATTCGAATTTATTATATAAATAATAAAAATAATAATAATGATTTATTTTATTATAAAGTCACATATTTGATCATACATATATATATACAATTACATAAACAACACAGAATTGACATGACCAAATATCCACCCTTATGTAGACTGATGAGACACTTATTTACAAACATTTCTAAAATCTATATGTAAAAATAATTAACAAAACAAGTCATTCTTAGTCTATATGTGTAAAATTCAAATTCTAAAAATCAAAAAAGATCTAAACATTTTACTAAACATCACACTGAGCTTTAAAAATAAGAAATATTATTATCACAGCTAATCTTTAAAAAAAAAGGTCTTCCAAAATGACCAAATTATATAAGTTATCAATCATTGTTTATGTAAATAACGTCTCTATTAAGAATTAACTTTAATACACAAAACCTCTGACACAAAACAGTGAAGGATTACAGTACTTCTTGAAACCTTGATTTGTTCGAAGGTAGAATGCCAATTATCTGCTAATCAAATTGTTTCGAACTCTAAATGATAATTACCATAATAAACTTTTCCCAGCAGCCGTGTCTTTTTGACAGTTTACCTTCATATCGTTCAAGATAATCTTTAACCGTGCTGCAGAAACAGATATTCAAATTTAGTTCAAAAATGTTAGATAAGGTCTATACCTAAAAGCTGGATAAACACTCTTCATATTCTTATGCAGGTTATGAACATGATGAAGTTATCGTTCTGATTTTCGAAGTTAGATTTCAGTGTGATTCTAATGACAGTCAATTGAAAATTTTTACATGTAAGTTACTTTTCGACTTGCATACAAACAACTAATTAAGTTACTCCCCATATAAGGATATAACATAATTCCCATCAAATATAGATTTGAATTAAAGAGATTTTTGTTACGTATTAACGCTTCTACATAACTTAAAGATTTGAATTAAACAGGTTTTTTTACGTAATAACGCTTCTACATAACTATGAAACATTGGATAACTGCTTTTAATAAATATGTCGAATTTTCGAAATTCTGAGGCTTTTTCGCCTATTCTAGTTGCATGAATTTTCTTCAAAACCAGAGAGACTAATTAAGATACATGAGATGTTTAAATTTACCTTTTCCGAGCGACAAAGATACTGGCTTTACAGAACTCTTATCTGGTATCTTTAATGCACAAAAAAGGATAACTAGAATCACAAAAAATACTGGACAATACAGAAGACCACATCAACCACCAACAGTACACCGACACCTCCGAAAAAACCACCACACATACAAAGAAAGAAAAAGGACAACGGAAAACACATGGCCATAGATTAAATTTTTGCTTTCATTTCAGTTGAAAAGGTATACTTATATAAAAGAACGTATATACTTGTTTACTAAATACACGCAATGACACACAGTTTAACAAATCCGAAATTTGCAACGGAAGACTTTTATTTCACAAGCAGTCAATGAACTAAACCAAATTTCTTACCCAGTTATCCTTAGCTTTTTCTTCATTGGCCATGGTTGAAATCGGACTTGTTCTATGAAAGATTTTTGGAGTTTGATCTTCTTATATAGACTGTCTTCATCGTCGGTATCGTTCCCTTGAAGTAAATTATCCATGCTATCTTCTTCATCACTGTAATTAATATTGTGCAGTATATATTAACTAGATAAAACTATAGCACGCGAGTTATTCATTAAACGCGCAAAATGAAAAAAATATATATAGGTAATTTGTAACTTACCATTTTTCTATGAATTCCTGCAAGAGTGCCGAAGACGTTTTTCTGTGCTGTTTTTTCTGTTGGTTTATTTGAGTTCCTCGACGTTTTTGAAAGTTAGAATTGGCGTTCATTTTTCGTCTGATCTCAGAAGTAGTCATATAGTTATTATAGGATATTTGAGATTTATTAATTACAGTTCGATCTAAAGTATTTGAACATCATTGCAATGTACAGTGCTGCAGACTTTGCTTTGTATATATTTATTGATGCAATAAATAAACCTGTTAATCAAAAGGTTTACCGTGTTTCTGTTTAACTAATATTGTGTAATTTCATTAAAATCAAACATTGCCATTTCTTGTCATAAAGCTGTTTTCTCTTTTCACTAAACCAAGTGAAGCATAAATGCAATCTTTTGAATACTAGTAGTTAATGCATGTTTATTCAACACATTTGAACAGGAAATTGTTATTTTCATCAATAAAACTGCATTTTCAGACAACTTTGTTGTTATAACATCTCCAAGTGTATGTAAATTCATAGGATTACTTTTTCTGCACGGTTACTAAATATAATGTAAATACATGAGTGTTGTTATTTCATGGCAAGATGTATTGATAACTTCGGTATATTTCTTTCTAGTAAGGAAAATCACATGTCCCGTAATATTGTTCATTTCATTTTAATTTGGTCTTTGATGGATATTTGCATTATAGGCAATCATACCAAGTCTCCTTGTTTTTGTATTGATTAAATGAAAAGTAACTATTAGTATTATCTATATTACATATGCCTATAAAGAAAACAACACAAACGCAAATATCAATTTGCCGACAGCCCGCCGTATTTGACGGACGCCGGATGTAATTTTATAATAACAAATACAATATTGTTTCTATTAAACAACAAATAACAAACATGTTGTAATTCAATGCTTCTATACATTATAAATGAACATTCTCTCTTAAATCTTTCCAAAATATTTCCCTCACGGATAGTCGAGGCCGTCCAGGAAAAACCATATTTTGTTAAGTGGAAACCTGTATCCAACGACAATGCACAAGCCTATCTCAGGAAAAAAGGTAGTCGGACCTCACCTTCTATAACGAGAGAGATGACAAAAAACAAAAATTCTTGAAATGAATACATATATACATATATATATATATGACTTAAGTTTAAGTCATGCACGTACGAACGGCGGCTAGAAAGTGACAAACAAATCAAACATACCTACATACCCGGATCTAAATCAACCCCTCTGATTGGACCATACGCATATTACCCATAACGTCAATACAATATTTTCCCGCTTTACTTCGAACCGCGAGAAAATATTAGTATATCTATACTACATATGCCTATAAAGAAAACAACACAAACGCAAATATCAATTTGCCGACAGCCCGCCGTATTTGATAGAAATTACACAAAGAACAGGGGCCAGAATAAATAAGAGCTAAACAAATATCATAAACCCAATTCCTTCGAGACCTGTAAACGTTTCTCTGTGGAGTCAACAATGTAACGATCTTTGCTAGAGTCTGACTTCCACCGGCCGTGTTTTTTCAAACACCGCTCGTTTACGTTTGCATTTGCAGCAGCCGTTGCACCACCGGCTCTGAAAGAATGTAGGCCTATATTACAATTTGGTGAAACTAACCTAACTCTACCTAATAAAGCCTCCCTAGCCGCCGTATAGCTTAGCTTTTAATCTTTATCTATAAGTTTACAATTTTTGCCCGATCTGCAAATCTGTCTAAATAAATATTAATTGGAGTCAAAATCGAAATTGGCCAGTTCTAAATATCTTATGAACATAACGTATGGACAAGCTATGGATAAACCTTTCGAAATGAGAATTTCGTTTCCTTGACGATACTGATCGGTTTTACTTTTGTTAATATACAAAATCAAATAATTGTCATGTATAACAACATCTTTAAATCTTAACGAACTAATTTCATCATATCTCAGAAAACCAGAAAAACTTAGTAATATCATTGTCAAATCTCTAATAATGAGTAAATCATCTGAATCTTTAAAGTGCGTACATAGTTCAATTAATATCTCTGCTGAAACCGGATCTTTTTTGTTGGAGGTTTTAGTTGTGGTTCGTTTGGAAGCTTCAACTATGGAAGTAACGAAAGAGTTTATAGTAGGATCTGGTAACCCACTCACTTCATGGGCCCATTTTATACCGTATACAGCATTGGAAACGGGATGACTAGTAGATCCATTGTTCAATAAATTTGTCAAATATAAAGCAACGTGTACCGGTTGTGCAGGTAAAGCATCTTGTCCATGTTCTGTAATGAATTTTTCCCACCTTCTAAAAGCGTAGAAATACGACTTGACTGTATTATCACTTTTACTGTTCAATAATAACTCACACATCTTCGGATATAGACTATACAAATGGCTTCCTGTTTCTACTCCACTGTCCTCTATTGCGACTTTTACATGACGATCTAAACTGATGCCTGTTAAGAAAATGAAAATTATAAATATCTATGTTTTTCATTTAATATTTATAGCAACTAATCTGAATTTTAAGAACTGCGAGCAAAATATACTGTTTTGACCCCTTCCTCGTTTTGTGAGACTCACCTTGAAAAAACCTGAAATCTCTTATGAAAGATTTAAAATGACCTACTTGGTCAACGAACATTGGCCAATAAGCGGCAGATGTCCAATCAGGAACAATCAAAGTATGACTACCTTTATCCTGTATCATTTTGTTAATGGTCTGTGGGACCAAACGAGGTGGTGGAACTAACCAATTATTCTCGCCATCCCATGACACAGAAAAAGCATTATTGCCTGATGTACCTGTGCACCAGAATTTCGAATTGAGTTTGTTGCATTTTGCATTGTAATCCTGTGCAAAGCGATCAAAAGTATATGGACCCCATAACTTATTCAGATACGTAAAAATCCAATCGTCGATTTCCCAATCATCACAATCTGATTTTCTACTTAGACTGTCTGCTTTATCGTTATGCTCGCGTGGTATCCATACTAAATTTAGTTTGATGTTGTTCTCTTGACAAATTTTATGAACAGACATAACGCTTCTGTGTAATTCTGTTTTCTTACTACCAACTTTCATAATGTGTGGTACATTTTTTATTGTCTGTGTAAACTCTAATTATCATACCATGCAATTTGATCACAAGATTTCTTAAAACCCTTTTTACTGATTCAAGTTCTCTCCATGTAGAGCTTTTTACTTTTTCAGTGGAAGACCAACTTCCGTATATCTCTATCGGTTCGTCCTCTGAACCTGTGGTCAAATGACCCCCGAAACCTGTTTCTGAAGCGTCACAAAAGACGTGATAGTCTTGAACTTCATTGTATGTCAACTGACATAACTGATATCCTATCTCATTTATTTTTTCTATATTATCTAACCAAAAACTGCATTCATTTACAGCTTCGAGACTAAACATCACGCTGGAATTCCAGCATTCTCTTGTAAGTATGCAATCATACATAAATCTAGATCTTAAACGTGCAAGATCCCCTGAAACAGCCTGAGTTGAGATGATCTGTCCAACAATATAAGCAAGTGACCTTACTTTGAAATATTTCATTCCCTTTTCATATTGCTGTAACAGATCACTCAAAGCGCTTTTTAACTTGTTCAATCTTTTATCGGTGACTTTCAGTACACCCTCTTCCAAACACCAACAAAAACCTAACGACTCCACTTTTTGTACTGGAGACCAATTACACTTTTCATGTGCTATTTCGAAACCAAAATGATTTAAATCATTCCTAATCGCATCACTAGCGGTTAATGCCTCCGAATAAGAAGAACCTCCCCCTAATCCATCGTCTAAATACATAACTATTTTTAACCCTTTACTTCTCCAGTGTTTTACGACTTCCCGAACTACTTTACTGAAAATATAACCACTTGTTGCCAAGCCAAATGGTAACACGTTGTAAACGTAAATTTCTTCCCCCCATTCGAAAACAAGGTATGTAGTGTCGGAATGTGAAATTCTAATATGATGATATGCACTTTTCAAATCATATGAAAAAATGTAATCTTCTTTGTTAAACATTTGTCTAGCTGTGGCCGCGTCTTCGTATTTGTGACGAAATTTAAATAAATGTGGATTTATATGTCTGGCGTCTAATACCAATCTTAGTTTTGACCCATTGTTAGCTACTGTTAGAGGGTTTATAACATGAGGTTGTTCTTTTACTCTGCTTATGCACCCTTTTTTCAACAACTTTTCGATTTCTTCCGCAACAAAAATCTTATTGTTGCACGCCGACTTATTATTTTCTAATACTACACTCTCTGGAATTGTTAAAAACGGAATCACATACCCGTTTTGTATAACATTAATAACGTGTTCGTTAGCACCTATCTTTGTCCAGTTATTGACATTTTCTAATAAGCTACCTACAGGTGATATACCTGAGTGAACACGATTACTATTAATCGTAGTATGTGTATTGCTAAGGAATGTTGTGTTGCGTAACGTTTGTTTGTATACAAAGGTGTACTCGAACTACTACTAACGTTACGTAAAAACATATTAGTACTTATCTTGTTTGTATGCTGCACCGTAGCACGAGGACACTCTCTCCTCCAATGACCAGTTTCACTACAATTGAAACATCTTCCAGGGCGAAACATCTTGTTTGTATTGACTGGAATCGGATTCTCTGGAGCCAGTTGTTTAGTCTTATAAGGTGTTGGCCTTGGATCGGTCTTGCGTTTAGCCTTCTCTTTCTTTATCTTGGAATCGGCTCTACTTTGTGCCTTGTATATTCTTTTTTCATCTTCGGAATCTTCTGCCAAAGGATTTGTAGTATATTCGTCGACAACACGCCATCCTGCGTCTGAAGAATCTGCTAACTTTATGAGCTTTTGCCTTGACTTTATCATTTCCATACCTTCGTAAATCTTTCTTTTTGCGGTTTGGATGTTGTCATTGTTCAAATTTTCTGATTCTAACTGGCTGTTAGCTTCGAGAACCTTCACGAAAACCTTCTTGTTGTGCTTATACTGTTCTTCATTGCCCCTTTTACGGAACTTGAAGGTCTCTGTCATGGTCTCGTCGATTTTGGCCAACTGTGACTCGGAAAATGCCTTCTGGCTATCCTGGATGTTTTGCTGGAAACCATTTAACCGTGTGTCGAGCAGTGAAGTAAAACTGTTCAATAGTTTATCTTGAGTTCCTAGTATGGCACTTTGTACTTCGGCTTGGATTATTTCTCTGATATCGGCGTCCATTTTAAGTCATGCACGTACGAACGGCGGCTAGAAAGTGACAAACAAATCAAACATACCTACATACCCGGATCTAAATCAACCCCTCTGATTGGACCATACGCATATTACCCATAACGTCAATACAATATTTTCCCGCTTTACTTCGAACCGCGAGAAAATATTAATATGTGTGATCCGTTAATACCCATTACACACTGCTGTGTTAATGTCAAATATCAAATCAGTCACTACAAGGAAGTCTGACAAAGTTGAATGAATTAGAAAAAATTCTTCGACGGTAATTTTGTAAAAATCAGGTCAATAAAGAAAAGCTGTAACCAATGATTTATAAAAATCCTTGCAATTACTTACACCAAACCTCTATGTGCTTCTTAATTATACAACTCTTGGCCGTGACCGTATCAGTTCCAGTATCTAATATTTATGAATATAATGATTCCCTCTCAACTAATGTGCTGCAGGATGTACTCGGAAGAAGCTACAATATATATGTTGGTGTAATTACTCTATCTGACGCATCTTTTTTGACTAGTCCATTTATGAATTTGTACATAAGTACTAGTCTTGATCTTTGAAATTTCTGCGTTCTTCAAATGATGTACATTCTAGTTTCTGATGCATTTCTGTGACAGATGAGATGTTGTGCATCTGTTCTGAACGTATCTGGCAGTTCTTTGTTGAACCATCTCAATCCGATAATATACTCTTTCAGATATGGTACAGGCATTTTTCACAGTAGGCTTATTCTTGTTCAAGTTAGTTCTCTCTTTCTTACGATGGTAAGCACATTGCATTTTTCTGGATGGAAACTCATCTGCCATGTTTTGTTTACAGAGTGCCAGTTTATCAAGGTCGTTTAGAAGGTGGACTCTGTTGATATAACGACATCGATAGAATATATGTATATCTGTATTGTAAAAGTTGTTGACACTGACGAAGGCTATTTGTCAACACAATGTTACAACAAGTGCGAATCCAGATAGTTCATTTTCACTGTCATAAATAAAGGCAACAGTAGTTTACCGCTGTTCAATAGTCATAAATCGATTAGGCGAAAACAAATCCGGGTCACAAACCAAAACCGAGGGAAGCACATCAACTATAAGAGTAAAACAACAGAACAACAGAAACACTGAACTGCTACAAAAACAAACGCCAACATACATAGAAACGGACTATTTGATAACAACTGCCGTATTCCTGACTTGATACAGGACATTTTAAGAAAATATGGGTGGAACCTGGTTTTATGGCTAGCCAGACCTCCCGCTTATATGGCATTGTTAAAAATAGCGCTAAAATGACAACTTTTCGTGACAGGAATTACAGTACAAATAAACGCAAGAACACTCAGGACAGAGAAATACATAAATAAATAATATACTAAACGAGTATTAATATTGTAGAATAAAGGATTATGGGGAAAACTGTGTTTGTTTATGTTTTGAAAATACAAAATAATTGATTTGAATGTATTTTTTAACATAATTTCATTGAAATATGACTTTACAATGTACCATTATATGATTGAAGTCCAAAAATATATTATTAAAGCAACAGAATCTAGAATAAAGTTATTGAAAGCGATTCATTTTGACATTTGGTGCGATGCATTATCCCTGTAAGTGCGATCATTTCTGATGTGGAATTTTGGTGCTATGGATTTTCATCGTGGTTTTATGTGATAATTGGACATGCAAAAAACTGACAATATTCATTTGATGAATTAAATATTGATGATATTTACAATTTAAAAATCTAAACTTATCGTACATACTTAACCGGTTAACCGCACAGTTGATTGCGGACGTTGTCCGTTTATTATTTAAACTAACTGTATACCGCCATCTTTGATTGTAAGATAGAAGTACACAATCGGTCTAGTTCTTTCCGTTAATCTGTAAATACTTAGACAGACTAACAATTGATGTGTAAAACTTTTCGTTTAAATAAAACAAAAAATAAGGGGTTTATTGCATTATTTAGACTGTTTTAACAAATACTAAATATTTGTTTTTGTTCGATTCAATTTTTCAATTTTCTTTTTCACTCACAAAGTAAGTATTATCAAATCCTTCTGACTTTATTTAGTTTGTCAAGCAGTCGGGTGAACTAACACTCTATTTGATGAAAATGATAAAGATTCCTTCTGTAAAAATGTACCGCATATACAATTGAAAAGAATCGCCCCTACAGTAATGACTGTGAAAATGAAAGTATTATATCATTATTCGACAGTGAACAT